GCATCCATGCATCCATCCATCCACGCATCCATTCTCAACTCTACTTAACACCTACTACAGGCTAGAATCACTGTAGAGTGCTTTGCAGTTATACTAGGGAAGGTAAGGTTAGGGCAAAGGCCCTGACGTTGGGCTAGGCTCCCTGTGCAAGGAGGAGCTTAGAAGAGGCAGCGGTGGGGCCCCTGTCTTCCTGACCAGAGTCCCTCTTGTGTGGTGGGAAGGCCTTGAGGTGGGCTGAGTTGAAGCAAGGGAGTAAAGGCCATCCTCCTTTGAAACATGGACTCCTGTGTGCCCCGCCGCCGCACCTTTTTATTCTTTAAGTTCTCTTAAGGTATCTCAGGAGTTCAGGGCTGGAGAGAGGCTGTGGGAATTCCAGGCATATGCCTTTCCCAGGCAGGGTGTGTGTGTGTGTGTGTGTGTGTGTGTGTGTGTGTGTGTGTGTGTGTGTGTGTGTGTGTTCCCGTTGACAGGCAGGGTGTGTGTGTGTGTGTGTGTGTGTGTGTGTGTGTGTGTGTGTGTGTTCCCGTTGACAGGCAGGGTGACCCAGAGCTGGGAGGTGGCCTTACCACCCATTCCAGACCACATGGCTTCTCATATCCATCCCTTCCCTCCACACCTCTCTGACCCTGAGCCCCACATTCCCACACCTCCACCCCTTCCATCTACTTTCCATAAAGGATCCAGAGCCATCCTGGTAACAAATACGGTGCCCTTCTCCTCCCCTCGAGGCCCTTGACTGCTCTGTGAATAGATTTGGAATCCTCACCTGTTGATGTGGCCTCAGTGGCCCTCTCCAGACTCCTCTCCAGAGACCCTTCCCTGTCTCTTCTGTGCATGGGCGTGCCTCACCTTCCCACTCTGACCCAGGACGTTTGCGCATGCCTCACCTTCCCACTCTGACCCAGGACGTTTGCGCATGCCTCACCCTTCCCACTCTGACCCAGGACGTTTGCGCATGCCTCACCCTTCCCACTCTGACCCAGGACGTTTGCGCATGCCTCACCCTTCCGACACTGACCCAGGACGTTTGCGCATACCTGTGGTTCTGCCGGGAGCACCATATTGCTTTGATGAACCATTCTCAGCTCTGCTGACCCACCATGTCCTTAGGGGACCCCCTGAATTACCCTCTGGGCAGATTCCACATAAGCATAGCCTCTAGAACTGAATATGCAGTGTCCCTCGCAGGCTCGTAGCATTATTTGGGAAGGTTGTGGAAACTTGGAAGGGTGTAGGCCACTGAGGATAGGATTTTGGCGTTCTACCTGGTTTCCAGTTTGTTCTTTCTCTGCCTCCTGTCTCTGTGATGTGAGCTGTTCCACCAGGCCTTTTCCGCCGTAAGTGACTGAATGAACCTTCTGGAACTATGAGCCAAGTTGTTGTCTCCATCAGGTGTTTGGTCAGTGTCAAGCAAAGTGACAGACAGACACTCTCATATTTCTCTCCAGGTTCTTATCATAGTCCTGACTGTGGAGCAGGCTTTGCGACTTCTGAGAAATCTTGGTAGCTTTGGAGTGTCACTCTCTACCACCTCTCATGAAGCTAGTTTCATGCCTGTTCTCCTGACACACAGGGAGACCAACCACTCTCCACTGGGTCTTCTGGGTATCTGCCTTGGACCAGTGGAGAGGAAGAAGTCAGGCCAGAGTTCTTGGGTGACTCAGCCCACAGTGTAGCCAACTCATGTTGAGATGTCCCACTGAGAACCTAAGAAGGGCCTGTGATTCAGCCACAAATTTACATGCATGGTGGGGTCAACACGGACACACTAAGATCTAAAAAAGGGGGAAACATGGTGTTCTTTAGTTCTATCTAATGTTCCTCTTTCCCAAGCACCCAGCCTTTGGAAAGAAGAACACATGTCATCTAGCTCTTGAGAAGCAAGCTTGTTTAAGAGCTTGGGGAAAATGGTCAGCCAGGTCAAGGTTAAGGCCTTTGTTAGTCAACTTTTCCTTGCTGTGACAAATCACCTGAGGTTTTCAACTTAGAAAGAGGAAAGGTTTCTCTGGGCTCATGGGTTCAGATGGTTCAGAGCATGGTCACTTGGCCTTTCCACTGGGGGCTTGTAGAGAGGCAGAAGATGATGGGGAGTGTGTGACAGTCAGAGCTGCTCATGTCGAGGCTACTAGGAGGAAGCAATTGAGAAAGACAGACAGAGAGACAGGCAAACTGACCAGGTCCCAATATCTTCAGGGGCATGCCCCTGACAACCTAACTTCCTTCTCTTAGGCTCCACCCCCAACCCAAAAGATTCTATCAGTTTCCCGGGCACCATAGGCCAGACCTGAGCCTCCAGCACAGGAGCCTTTGAGGGAAATTTCCAATGCAAACCACAGCAAGCCCTGACTCTTTGGCTGGGGCAAGTGCAGCAAAGCAGGCAGAGCTCGTGTGAGTGACAGTTTGTCTCGGGCAGCTCTGGAAACGACTGACAACCCCAAGATCAAGATTGCCCGCCAGTCCTACCACTAGACCATCACCGGAAAAGATGAAGGGGAAGACGAAGGGGAGAGGAGAGTAAGGAGCTCTCGGCTGCCCTTTCCTACAAGGTCGCTAATACCATCTCAAGGACACTAACCCCTGACCTTACCTAACTGATTACTTCTAAAGGTCCTCCACAAAAAGCTATCACATTAGGGATTAAAAATCTCATCCTGTGAATGGCACGGTGCATAACTGGTCTCTATCGTACACTCCTTGCTCCCACATTAGGAAACTGTGGATGTGGATGGATGGTATAGTACACATCTGTCCCATGATTTCTGTCCTTGAGTCGGAGGACCTGCACCTGGGGTTCATCCTTGCTACAGTAGCATACTAGAGACTTACCCTTCCCTCCTGTAGGCCTGCATCCCTGGACTCCCTCTGAAACATGGCAGTGCCTCAGTTGACCGTTAACTGGGCAGTGCCCAGACAAACTGACAACGGTCCTGCTCGTGTGCCATGGGGTTCAGGCAACCCCTGGTATCTGCTGCCCGTGGCTGAGAGCTGGCTTCACTGTCAGGCTTGCTCACAGCGCAAGCCTGTTGAGTTTCCATGTGACCTCTCAAGACTGTGAGGATGGGAACCTGTTCCTCTCACATGCACAGGCAGTAAGGTGTCCAAGTGGGCTCTGCGTTTCCTTTTTGGCCATGGGGGCTGCTTTGTACTCACCCTGTCCCCACCCCCACCTTCAGGGGAGACCCTACAGACTAAGGACTAAGGTTGCAAGGTTGCTTTTCCTCCCCTGCTACCTTCCCCAGGCCTCCACCCTTCCCAACCATGATTCTCAGCAGAAGTCTGGGAGCCGTAATGACCTGGCCTTGCTCACATCATAGATAACGCAATTAAAAATAAAGACAACTCCTTTTTTCCTTAAGTAAAAGATCTGGTTTTTAAAGCTGTTGTCTCAGCACAGACTGAAAAAGAAAATCTAGCTTGGGCCTCAAAGCTGAGGCAGCTGTGCCTGTGGTTTGGGGGGTCCACCCACTCCCCAGACCTCATGCAGAACAGCAGGGCAATACCGTTTGCCAAGTATGAAAAATACAGTTTGGGTTTTCATAAACACCGTTCCATCGTGTGTGTGGAAATTGGATCCTCGCAGGAACTCTGTGAGACACACGTCCACTCTGATGTTATGAAGGAGACAGTGGGCGGTGAGTGGTGGGCAGTGGGTGGTGAGTGAGGTGGGCAGTGGGCTGTGGGCAGTGAGCAAGGTGGCACAGCCCTTGGGCTCTGCTTTCTGAGCCGCAGGCACTAAGGTGGGTACTTGAGTGTTGAGTAGATGGTCCTCAGGGGCCAGTGCCCTGCTACCCAGACAGACAGTACATTCGAGGTACTCAAGATGAGCGCACAGCACGGAGCCATGATGCTATGTCAACCATGCTCCCACACTTCTTCGCCAAAGGAGAGGAGGGCAAGAGACCAGAAGCCAACTTATAACCAGAGATTGTCTGTGCAGAAATTCCTGGCAGAGCCTGTGTGTTGGGATCAGGGGTGGCATCGGTTGGGGACCAGTGAGCTGGTTAACTCTCTGCTCTAATTGGTGCTGTGGTGACAGCAGCAGCCACGGGGCTGTGTGTCTCACAAGCCCTGTGTCCCTCCCTCTCCACCCCATCCATCACCGTGATGATTTGCTTTTCCTTATTCTGCTCAGATTCCCGGGGCATCTTCCCGCTGTCTAGAGGGAGCAATCACAAAAAACCTGAAGACTGAGGTGCAGTGGACTCTGGCTGGTGCAGCGTAGCCTGCTCGCCCTTCGAGGGCTCCTGGGAAGCAAGCCTCTGGGTCCAGTCTGCATACAGACGGCATGTGCAGCTGGTCCATGCTCCTCTCAGTGACTCCACTGATTTTCTTCCTTCCGCAAGTGTTTGCTGGCCATGTGCTGCTCTGCTCTGGGGCTGAAGGGAGAGGCATCCAAGGAAGGGCAATAAGGACTGAGGCGAAGCTCAGTGGCAGTAGTGTAGCAGGCTTTCTGGGACCACCAGCTCCCAAATCACGACACAGAGACTTATTAGTTATGAATGCTCGGCCTTGGCTTAGACTTGTCCCACTAGCTCTTATAACCTAATTTAACCTATTTCTCTTCATCTGCATTTTGCCTCAGGGCTTTTTACTTTTCTTTCATTCTGCATGTCCAACTTCCTCCATGTCTGTCTGTCTGTCTGCCCCCTGCCTGACTGGCTAGCCCCTGGCTGCTCCCTGCCAGCCCTGGCTGCCTGCCCCACCTCCACTCCTGCCCAAGAGAGCTAGCCTTATGCCTGTGGGCCTGGCTGAGAGCTGCGTTCAACTGGGAGCTGTGTTTAATGGAGAGTTGAATTTAGCTCTAGGTAGTTGGTGCCCTGTACTGTGGCAGGTGTTTTCACTTAGCTTGTTGTTTCTGCTTAATGCACTGGCCACTCAAGTGCTCCCTGTATGGCAGAGCCTCTTAAAGGAGTCGTGTCCTTTTATTTTATTTATTTATTTATTTATTTTTATTTTTTTGAAACAGCAACACATCTTTACCTAGTTAAACAAATGCAGCATAAACAAATGCAGCACATTTTTACATAGTTAAACAGACGTTCTATTCTGCAACAGAGTGGGACTTAAGAAGGATGGGGTACCAATTCTCCATAGGAGCAGGTCTGAACCTGGAGGGGCCCTTCAAAGAAAATTGACTCCTAGCCTGCACTGCAAGAAGGAAGAGCGTTTGCTCAGCCAGTGCAGTGAAGGGCTATTCCACGACGTTCTGAGTGTGAGGTGGGAAGATGGGGGTGACCCCATGGCCAGGAAGCTTTTAGCAGCTCCGAGCCTGAGGTTAGTCAGCCTAGCATGTGTTTCTAGATGGTGGTGGACATGCTGTAGACCGTGGGAGTTCATCCTCCTGCCCTTTTATGCTGTGGGCATCTGGGGACCCCTACAGATGCCTGCTAAGGATAATGTTTTTATTTATGTTCCCCCCCTCTGTGTGTGTGTGGGGGGGTACACATGCCTGGGTGCTACAGAAGCCAGAGGATGACATTGGGTGTTCCACTCTTACTTTTCAAGCTATCCTCTTGAGATAGGGTCTCTCTCTGAACCTGGAGCTAGGCTGGCAGCTGTGAGTCATAGGGATCACCACCCCACTTCCAGTCCTGGGATTACAAGTACAGGAAGGCCATTTTTCATGTGGGCATGGGGATTTGAACTCAGGACCTCATGCTTGCACAGCAAGAACTCTTATCTACTAAGCTATCTCCCTAGCCCCCAGAATAATGTTTTTAAGTGTTTTTAAAAAGCACACAAAAATAAAATAGTGCTCAAAATGTGAAAGAAGACCATGACAGGCATGACAGAGAACAGGGAAGGCAGAGTAACAGACTTAGTGATAACTGCTCCCCATTAACAGGATGAAGGAAGAACTGGTCATGGGTTCAAAGTGGTCCACATTTCCAAGTGCGGCATTCTTCCACATCCTTGAGCATTGAAGGGCTCAGCTCCAGAACACCTTTCAGGAGTTCAAGTTCCCGGAGTACTATGTGTGGTGTTTGTGTTTAACCTACACACACACACTCCCACACACATCAAGTGATGTTTACATGACTTATAATACTTCATAAAGCATAAATGCCATGTAACTGACTATTGTATTGTTTAGAAGGAAATGACAAGGGAAAAAGTCTATACATTTTCTGTGAACTTTTCCCCAAATATTTTTGTTCTGGGGGTGGTTGAATCCTTGGACACGGAGTCTGTGGGATACGGAGTGTGGATTGTAGCAGTGTAACATTTCACAGAGTAGCCACAACCAGGAATGACTTCTACTCTGACAGTTTCATTCCTTCTGGAGGGAATATGCCATGCTTCAGTGAGAGCTGATGTGAATTCTCCGGTCCAGGTTCAGCTCTGAGTGCGGGCTATGGGCCAGGAAGTGGATGTCTCAGGAGGCCACTGCTGAAATCCAGGCAGGTGGTAGTAGCAGCATCCAGGGCCAGAGAGGGTCATAGAGGGATGGATCAAGAGGCAGTTTAGAGTTGATCAAATGTTGGAGATAAATATGAAAAGAGAAAAAGACAAGCAGGGCCCCTGGGTTCTTACCTGGGGGCTTAGGGACAAGATGCCAGGAGCACAGCCGGAGTGGTCTTTGGCCCATAGTTCCTGCTGATGTCTCCCTGGCTGTCTTTCAGGTCAATGAAATCTACCATGACGAGTCACTGGGGGCCCACATCAACGTTGTGCTGGTGAGGATTATCCTGCTGAGCCATGCCAAGGTGAGTCCTCCTGTCGGATACTCTCTGGAATGAATGGGGCCCTGAAAATGAGGTTTGGCCCTTCTTTGAGACTGCTTGCTCTCCCATACCACCCTACCTTTCCCTGGACACCCTATTGTCCTATAACAAGCAAGAAGCTGTGAGCTCCCGCCCCCTACAGACTCCCTGTTCCCTTCACCATGATCCATGACTCTGCTTTAAAGTTCAGGTTATACAGTGTGATAAGGCCAGCAGACCAGTGGGCCCTACCACTGCAGAGAGAACCACGGTCCCAAGAGGCCGAGACACAGACAACATGGGTGTGACCAGAACATTGGGATTCCCTTGCTGTAGTCTCTGAGGGTAGGAAAGAGGGAGGCAGCGAGCAGACTCATGGTAACCTCACTGTAAAGTCTCAGCAGATTCCTGAACAAGACTGACTGCCCCAAGGTGCCTAGAATTGGCCCTGAGGGATCAGGGCAGGTGGATGGCAGCCCGGAGTGTAGACAGACACACAAGACTAAAGTGAGGTTGAGCTGAGACAGGAATTCTGTCTTTGAGGGGATATGGGTTCTGGATGGTTGGTTTCTTACGAAAAACACTGAAATTATTTGCTATTATCTATCAGTGTTTCTAACATCAGACATCAGACCCTACCTGCCTCCTCTTGATCTTAAACACTGAGCCCCTTCCCCCACAGCCCTGGAGCGTAGTAGTTACTCTTGTTACTGTGATAAAATGCCTGACAAAAGCAATTTAAGGAAGGATTTATTTCGGCTCACAGACAACGTTCCAAAGAAAGCTATTAGGCACAAAGGAGAGAGAGAGGCAAAAAGCTAACTGAGGGGATGTTTAATACTGTGCTCAAGCTCTTTAGGATTTGCATGTTTGGAGTCAGAGTGATGGTAGGGATAAAGCAGGCGCAGTGGTTATGATGTCATTTGTCCTTGTCGTACAGAAGGCTGTGTCTCTTCTCTGTGGAACTGGAGGATACTTTAAAATGACACGTGTGTTTAAGTCATGACAGAAATGTCAGGGCATTTTCTATGACTAAAAACGAAAGCCTTGCCCAGGCATTGCACTCCAGCGACGTGCTCCAAGCCTGACCAGAGGTGAAAGGAGAATGCTTACAAACCTAAAAACAACTGGACCACTTTGAAAAGCTTTCTTTTGTGTTTGAGACGGGTTCTCATGTAGCCCAGGCTAGCCTTAAATTCACTATGTAGCCAAGGACGACCTTGTACTTCTGATCCTCCTTGCCTCCTTCTCCCAAGCGTTTGGGTTACAGGCATGTGCTAGCTCCCCTGTGTTTATGTGATGCTGGGGACTGAACCCAGGATTCCGAGCATGCTAAGCAAGCACTCTACCAATTGAGCTACAACCCCAGCCATTAAAAACACTTTTTAAAACTGACTTGGGAGAATATTAGAACGGCAACTGTAGAAGACGTGGTTTGATAAGGGACTTGTGCACCCATAGGTTTGGGTGTCCAGGGTGGGGGGTGGGGCTGCAACCTGCATCTCACTTCTCCTGGTAGGAGGGAAAGCACTGAAGGCTGTCAGCTCCGCCAGGAAGCTGTGGGGGAGATTCTGCCCTGCTGTGGGCACCCCCAACAGTCTCGTAATGATTAGTTTTTTTGTCAACTTGACGCAAGCCAGGCTCATCTGGAAAGAGGGAACCTCAACCGAGAAAATGCCTCCGTAAGATTGGCCTGTTATTGGCAAGTCTGTAGGGCATTTCTTTTGATTGATGATCGATATGGGAGGGCTCAGCCTGCCACCCCTGGACAGTTCGTCTGGGATGTTATAGGAAATCGAGCTTAACAAGTCATGAGGAGCAAGTCATTAAGCAGTACTCCTCGATGGCCTCTGCTTAAGTTCCTGCCTCTAGGTTCCTTCCTTGAGTCCCTGCCCTGACTTCCCTCAGTGATCCGCTGTGATCAGTACATGTCAGCCAAATAAACCCTTTCCTCTCCAAGATGCTTCTGCTCATGGGGTTTCTGACAGCACTGTGAAGTTTTCCTCCTTCCTCCAGGAGAGCCAGCCCTACTTCCCCAGACTGGGTCACTCCAGCTCTTCCATCCTGGCCTGGATCCTCAGTTGTCTGGGTCACTCTCCCGCTCTTCCATCCTGGCCTGGATCCTCTGCTGTTGTGGTAACTTCCAGGCTTTTGGCAGGAAGGATGGAGATGAGATTGCCTCCATTTAATTGGGAAAATGGATTCATACTCTATTATGGACATGCTGCCTTGGACAGCTGTGATGCAGAGTCACACTGAGCACAGACACTGAAAGAGACTGATTTCAAAACATACGAACATGCATTGTTTTATAGTCTCCTTACTTAATAGTCCCTTGGAATGAATGAAACTACACCAGCAAACGCAGCTCCATCAAGCCAGAAATGCTGAAGTCCTTGACTTCCTTCCCTCTGCTTTTTCTTTTCACACAAAATCATAAACTTTAATTTTTATATGCATTTATATATTTGTCTTTTTTAAAATTTATTTTTGAGATTGTAATTATATCATTTCTCGCCTCCCTTTTATGTCTCCAAACACTTCTATGCATCCCTCCTTGCTCTCTATCAAATTCATGGCCTCATTTTCATTAATTGTTTTTATGTGCATATATGTATATACATATATACTCCTAGATATAATTTGCTCAGTCTGAATAATTATACTTGTATGTGTGTTTTCATGGCTGACCATTTAATATCAGACAGCCAGTTGGTGTGCTCTTCCCTGGAGAAGACTGTTTCTCCTGTTCTCAGAAATCCGTAGTTGCCTGTAGTTCTCTGTGGTTTAGCATCTCTGTTGGTCTGCGACATTGTTCAGCTCATGTTTACAGTCTTGTTGGGGAGACTTCATGGGTGCTTCTGCATCTCCTGGGAGACACAGTCTCATGGGAAACTTCCTGGTCCTCTGGCCCTTCAATCTTTCCGCCCCCTCTTCTGCAATGTCCCCTGAGCCTTAGATTTTGGACTTTGTAGATGTATCCATGGGGACTGGACTCCACAACTCTGCATGCTGATTGGTTGTGGCTTTCTGTAATGGTCTCCATTCTCCCCTGTTTTTATGGTACGTATGATCTGTTCAGAAAGGGAGGAAAGCCTGCCACAGGTTGGTCTGTTTTCTGTAATGTTGGTCTGGGCATCAGGTGATAGCTTTCATTCCCTGCCTGGTCCCCACCATACTAGTTAAAAGGAAAAGTTTAAAAACTGTAGGTTTTGTTGCTTAACTGTACTGACAAAGCCATGGATCCTTTGAGGCCTGAACAGTGTCTGTCTGTCTCCTGGTCTGGATGCTGTATGGAGGTAAGCCTTCCAGCTCTGTGCTGGAAGGACAGGGAAGAGCAGAGAGTGGAGAAAAGAATACCAGGATGGAGGTAGCAGACGCGGATGCCGACATGGTCAGGCCATGGGGGCTGGAGAGACAGTTCACGGTTCAGACCACTCTGCAACCCCGAGGGCTGGAGTCTGGATTCGCATTAGCACAGTAAGCTGAGTGTCTGTGCAAATGCCTGAAGCCCCAGCTCCAAGGGAGATGGAGACAGGAGGATTGCTAGGCTTTTCTGGCAGTCTGGTTCAGAGAAAGAGAGAGAGAGAGTGAGAGAGAGGTTGCCTTAAAGGAATAGACGGAGAGTTAGAGAGGAGAACACTGGCATCCCCTTCTGACCTACGTATGTACACAGGCATGCACACACATATGTGCATACACACTCTCTTACACACACATAAACAAATTTAAAAAGCCAGATCAGGGCTGAAGACATAGCTTGGTAAAGTGCTTGCCTGATAGGCACAAAGCCTTGGGTTTATCCCCAGCACTGTATGAACAGGGGTGGGGTAGGGGCTGGCATACAACCATAATCTCAGTGATGTTGAGTTGGATCGGAGGCTGGAGGAGCAGGAGTTCAAGGTCATCCTCGGCTATATAGTAAGTTTGAGACCAGCCTGGTATACATGAGCCCCTGTCTCAAAAATAAATAAAGGCAGACCACAGTAACAGGGGTCCATATGTCTCTGCCATGGAGTTTGGCTTTCTTAGAGTGACATGACCTGTTGCATTTCTAATAGGGTCCCTGCCCTGAGGACACTATTTTCATTAACAGGAAGATGTGTAGATTGGAACATGGCTTCGATGGTGGAGAAAGGAAGGCAGAAAACAGAGCATGCTGGGAGACCACATTGAGAGCACCCAGGTGCTGGTGGGTGCAGGGAGAGAGACCCGCAGGTAGATGAGTTGACCTGCAGTGGTTCGAGTGTTGTCATCTGAAGTCCCATTCCCGAAGTGTCGACCCTCAGGTGGCATGTGGGTGGTCTTTGGTCATTGGAGTGTGCTCTCTAAAGGGATGCAGGACTCTGCCTCCTGTCTGTCTCTGGTCCCATTAGAGATGTGGCCACTTGTTCCTGCCGTGGTGTGTCACCCTCCTCAGAGGACATTTCAACAAGGCTCTTGGACGTTGAACCTCCAAAAACAGTGAGCTAAAGGAACCTTTTCTGTTTACAAAGTTCATTGTCTTGGGCATTTTATCACAGTGACAAAAGACTGACTGGCATACTCAGGACAGGAAATGCAAGGTCAGATGTTGGTGTGGGGAGGGGAGAAGCTCATGAGTTCACTTGAGGTGTGCCGTCTGATTGGTGGCCCAGGCGAGGTGGCCAGGATAGGTGATCACGTGGGTCTGGAATCCCAGGGAAGCCTGGAGTGTTGAGATGGAGATGAGCATTGTTTGCACAGGGGGGTGGGCCATGTGAGGTGGCAGCTGAGAAAGACCGTAGGTGACATGAAGACAGATGGGCAGAACAGGGGTGACTGGTGCATAGAAGGTGGGAGGCTCCCTTGTTTTTAAAGTTTTGAAAAAAAGCCCCGAGATGATAGGTAGACTGCCCATGTTCTAAAGGTGGGAAAAGAAGCAAGTTTCCCTGATGTTCTGTGCAGCTGAGTGGTAATAGATGTGTACACAGGAAGGAGGGGGTAGACGGTGCTCCTAAAGCAAAGGAACAGGTGCTCCCCATGACTGCACGTCCCAGGGACTTTGGAACATGCGTAGTAAAGCTCGATGGGACACATTGGGACACATCGTTCTTCAAACCTGTTTCACAGTGGGATCCTTTCCTCCAGACGGTTTCATTTCACAGAATTTGCTTTGGAAAATGCCACCTATGAGGCAGTGGCGGTAAAACCAGCCACGAGTGGGTTCTTCCAAGCAAACACGGGGACCTGAATTCGGATCCCTAGCACTGGTTTAAAAACAATCTGGGTGTGGTGGGACGTGTCTATAACCCCAGAATGAGGTTAGCAGATACAGGAGAATCCCTGGAGACCGTTGACCAGCCAACAAAGCTAGACCAAGGATATCCAGGTTCAGGGAGAGACCCTGACTCAAAAATAAGGTGAAGAGCAACTGAAGAAGACACCCAATGTTGACCTCCTGTCTCCATATGTCTATCACACACACAACTCACCACACTTACACACATACTCACACACTCACCACACTCACACACTCACTCATACACACCACACACACTCACACACACTCAACACACTCACACACACACTTACCACACATACACACACTCATACACACACACATAATCACCACACTCACTCATACACACACTTACCACACTCACTCACACACACTTACCACACACACTCTCACACACACTCACTCACACACTTATCATACACACTGACATACACACACTCATCACACACACACTCACCACACACTCTCACTTGTACTCACCACACACACACAAGTATAAGCAATCAAGACCCATAAGTTACTAACACATAAGTGGTTCTCATACTGTGACTTAAGTTTTTTTCTTAGACAGATTTAAATAACAGGAAACTAATATCTGAGAAGAGCAGACAAAATTATAATTGTTTTCTGTTAAAACCCAGGAGAATCCATTGTAAAATCCATGGAGCAAAAGCCTTAGTGATACAGACAAACCCAGTCGAGTCACTTAATGGGTATATGAGAAATGTGTAAGCAAGCAATTTGCCATTGTGCTAACACCACGGTGTCCTCAAACTAAGATGGCCAGGATGTCACTAGGTGATATCATCACATGAGACCACCATCATATACACTGTCTGGCTTTGACTGAAATTTCATATGCAGACGTTGTGCCTTAACAACACCTGAGTAGCAGGGCTAATTTAGAGAGCAAAGTTCCTGCACCAAGACTGGAGAGATGGATCAGAGGTTAAAAGTGCTTACTGCTCCTGGGGAGGACCAGACTTGGTTACCAGCACCTACAAGGTGACCCACAACTGAGTGAAACTCCAGTTCTAGGGAAACTGACTCCCTTCTCTGGCCTCTGTGGTGTCTTGCATGTACATGGTGCAGATATACTCACACACACTCACATACATACACATAATTTTGTTAAGGTCCCCTGCATCACAGTTACCCAGATGTCTCTGAGGCAGTACAAGATGGACATAGGACACACAGAAAGAAAGGGTACACTGTTCATGACAGGGAAATAAAAAGCATAGGTCACTGTTTCTTCTAGAAAGACCAAGAGAGGAGAGATGTTGGTTTTTCCAGGTTAAGAACTGGATATTTGACAGGATGGTTCTGGGTTTCATTATAAATAGGAACATTTTAGAACAAGTGTGTGTCCTGTGGCAAGACAGTGCAGGGACAGCTTGCTGCCCTGGTCTCTGGAATGGAATACTCTTGGACTGTGACAGGAAGTGAATCCAGCTTCGGAGTCTTGGTATCCTGGATTTCCTGACTGCCTGTTCCCAAATACCCAGCAGCCGCTTCCCAAATTACCACATAGAGGCTTATATTAATTATAAAAGCTCAGCGATAGTTCAGGCTTATTGCTAGGTAGTTCTTATATTAATTAACCCATATCTATGTTTAGACACATGGCTTGGTACCTTTTCTCAATACAGCATTCTCTGCTTTTTGCCCGCAACTCTTCTAACTCCACCCTTCCTCATCCCATCATTCTCAGTTTGGCTTTTCTGCCTAACTGTATCCCATTCAGCTACTGGCCAGTCAGCTTGTTGATTAAACCAATCACAGCAATGTATATTCACACAGTGTAAGGGAATATTCCACAGCAGGATGTAGAAATGCAAACAAGGAAATCCTGTTAGGAGGACGTGGTGCTGGGCTGCCAATCTGGAGAGCTGGTATGGAGGGAGGAGAGTGAGCACAGACCGCAGCTGGGCTGCATGGAGAAGGTTCAGAGCTGGAAATGAACATTCTCAGACCAGAACATGGAAGAAACCACAGAAGGGTGTTAGTTAGCTTTTAGTAGCTGTACCAAAATACCCGAGGTAGATAACTTCAAAGAAGGAAAAACGCAACTCAGCTCATGATGTCAGAGGTTCCAGACCATGGCTGTTCAATCTGTGGCTTTGGAACCCTTAGTGACAGAAGAGCATGGAGAGAACATGGAGTGAGTGGGCGAAGGGTACTCACCTCCAGAATAGAGCTGGGAAGAAGCTGGGAAGCAAAGGGAAAAGCTCTGTTGTAACACCCTCTCCTAGGGCGTGACCCCAATAACCTAACTTCCTCCCACTAGGCTCCTCCTCCAAAAGGGTCTGCCACCCCAGTGACACCTCAACAGGTGACCGAGTCTTTAGCAGACCTCTTGGGGGACAGCATAGATCTAAATAGCAAGAGGCTTGGCACTTGGCTGTGGACCAACAGCCCCAGGCTGCAGGGCCAGAAGCCACATCTGCAAGGAAAGGCTGTGTGCCCCTGGGGCCACAGGCCACACAGGACAGGGGTGCTCCATTCCAGGGCAGCTGGCAGGGCCCACAGAGCCTGGCCAAGCAAGGATCCAGCCTCTAGCCCTACTTGATCGCATGCCAATAACTTCTGCAGATGAATTATTAGGAAAGGCAAATGTGGCTGAGCCCAAGATATTAAAAAAAAAATCCCTGTTTTTTTTTTTAAGTGATTAAACTCCATAAATTTCCCGAGAATCTCACTCCCTCCAGTTACTTATGAAAGTTTCTCATTTCTGCGCTTATCTTGTGCAGGCAGTGTCTGCAGCCACGGGTCACAGACTATCTTGTGTAGCTCTGGGGTGAGGCTTTCTGTGTTGGGGCTTCCAAAGAGTGCCATGGTTGTAGGAGATGTACTCTGAGCTCAGGAGCTCTGGCCTCCCAAGTCTGTTCTGAGGTGTTCAGGCACAAGAACAACACAGCTGCTCCTTGTCTAGCCACAGACAAGACGCCAGCACCAGGAAGCCAACACAAGGACGGGAGGCAGACCTTGGACAGAGTGGCCAGGCAAGAGCCCCGAGGGCCAGGAGGCTCAGTGTATGTCGCCCCTACCCTCTCCCCATGTAGACTCAGTAATGGGGAAAGCAAAGTTGGGCTGCTAGGTGGGACCCTGGGGATGGAACATGGTTCATAATAACAGATGGATCCTGGGAAGACATTCTGCATGGGACCTCTGGGTTCCTGCTGGGGACTGTGATAGTTAAACTTGATTGTCAACTGGAAAGGATTTATATTCACCATGGAAACAAGTCTCTGGGATTTTCTAGATTTGGTTAAGTGTGGTTGGAAGACCCACCCTGAATGTGGGTGGCACCATTACGTAGGCTGGGGTCCTGAATACAAAGGAGAAAGGAAAGGGAGCTTCCAGATTGTGCTTGTCATGTGACCGGCTGCCCTCCATTCCTGCCATGGTGACTTCCCTTCCATTTCATGCACCCTTAAACTGAGAGCCAAAATAAACCCCTCCTCCTTTAAGTGACCTTTGTCAAGCCTGCTGTTACAGCCATGGAACATGTGACTAATAAAAAGAATGAGGCTTCCTCTCTACAAGAGTTTAAGCCCTACCAAACCGAGGTGGCTGCACCCAGACTGTCTACCACAGTCAGAGGGCATCCGGGGTGTGAAGTCATCGCCTGATCTTTGGCAGAAAGTGTCTCAGGCCCGCAGCTCCTACTATTCATTCCTAGCTGTCACTGGGAATGTACCAGGCCCCTCATCCTGGTCCCTCCCTGCCTTGTTTGGGGTCCCACTAGGCTCCAGTAGGGGTAAAGTTGGCAATACTTACACGAGTGACATGTTGTTTCTCTCTAGCTTATGGGAGGCCTCCGAGTTATCGCAAGTTTTTCCTAAAACAACATTTTTCTCCATTTCTTTAAAAAAAAAAAAGCAGAAGAAAAGAGATGATCTTATTTTACACAATATGCCACCAGCCAGGGAGCCGAGCATCAGCCGCACTCGTGGGTTGCATAGCAACTGACTTTTCAATTGATTTTTTGAGAAGGAACCAAAGCTACTCAAGTGTTCTCATTTTAAATATTTCCTTGGATGATGGAAATCAAAGGAAATGGAGATGAGAGACCTGGGACATTCCGAGGACAGAAGGTATCTTGTGAAGGCCAGCTCAAGACAGGGTATGGGAGGCTTGTTGGAATTTGTCCGCATTCAGGGTGAAAGGTCAGACATTCTTGGTCTGTCAGTAGAAGGCAGAGACATGTGTGAGGAAAGGACTGCACAGCCCAAAGCCTTGGACCAGCAGCACCACTGTGTTCCTGCCATGTGTCCCTGGATATCACCTGTCCAGCCACAGAGGGGCTAAGATGAGAAGCAGAGGCTTCTTCCAGGTAGCCTTGCATCAGGGACCCTGGAGGGCCCTGCACAATCTATATTTTAGCCTGGGAAAGGCCCTCTGGCATCCCAGTGGGGGCAAGACATAATGGCCAGTCCCTAGTCACCCTTGACACACCTTCTCACCCAGATGTCTTTGGGGCTAGAGTAGATGAGAAGTTATTAGGGCTAGACACTGCCATTGGGGGGTGTCTTTGTCCATTTGAGCTGATATAACAAATACACCTTAGATTGGATACTTAATAAACCAGAGAAGTTTGTACCTCATAGTTCTGAAGGCTGAGAATTCCAAGTTTGGAATTCCAGCAGATCTGGAGTCCTCACAGACAGCTGCATGCTCACAGGGTGGCAGAAAGGACAGGTCTCAGATCAATGTTTCAGCAGAGCCACTCCAGTTCAGGGGACTTTGTCCTCCTGGCCTGATGACCTCCTGGGGTCCCATATCTTAATATTATTGCACTAGAAATTAGTTTCCGACATGTGAATTCTGATTTTTAGAACACAACCGGAGGCCCACTCAGCTTTGAACCCTGTTCTAGCAGCTTGGCTTTCTCGGAAGGGCATGCCTTCCTGCCCTCTCTCTTTGTGGTGTTCTAGGAGGTGTGTATACCATGACCTTTAAGCCACCCACACTATCTTGTATGCACAGCTGGGAGTAGAAGAGCCCAGATTTGGGGGATACCCCAGTGGCAGGCAGGCAGGCTGGATGTGGGAGAGCTTGGGCTGAACAGTCGGCTCTGTTCCGGGCATTTGTCCTGGCCCATGGGTACTTGTGGGACTTTGAATGAGGTACTGAACATCACAGAGCCTTGGTTTCTCCAGGAAGAGGAAGTCTTTGGAACCCCAACACTTGGCAGCAATGACTGAAACTGTGGGGGCAGTGAGAGTGGAGACTTTTGGGGTTTCACTGTCAGAAGCCCCCTGCAGGGCTGTACTGTTCTCCACCTCACTCCTCTGTGGAGTCGGCTGGCTTTATCCATACCCCTCCTTGCCCAGCGTCGGTGCCCTGTGAGCCAAAGTTATTTCTCCTCAAAGAGGGCACATCACGTAACTGTCAGGACAGTGCATGTTTTAATCACTCCACCTTAGTGGTCTTGTTAATCTTGGGGTGGCTCATTTGTAACTTACACTCTGTCACAGGGAGATGTGTCTGGGAGGAAGTGCAGACCTAGTATCCTCGGAGCCCAGCACAGCCCACTGTTTCAGGCGGCCTGTTGGGGGTCCTGGTAGATATCTCCCGATAATAAGGGGGACACCCATAATCACTGTCACCATCCATATGACCAGGAGGATGTGGCTCCAGGGAGAGGGGGTCATACATGGCAGCCACTTTGTCCCTAGAGGATGAGCCAGACTCTGTCCTGCTAGTGGGCTGGAGGACACAGCCCTTGGAAGAACTGCCCCTAGCTTCCCCCTCCCCCATCCCGTGACATTCCCCTCAGGCCAACGCTGCCAACCAAGGGTGACTCTGCCACTCTGTCCCCAACTCGTGGACTCAAGGTGATGTTTAGAGACACTTTGACTGTTATAACTTGGGAGATGCTCAGGACAGAACACCCCTCTCCTACACACACACACACACACACACACACACACACACACACACACACACAAGTTAACTGGCCCCAAAATGTCAGCAACACTGAGATTAAGTGTTGAAGTGAGCTCTGCTCAACTGAACCTCACCCCTGCTCATGCTTCCTGTTCCCTGCCTGTTTGGGAGGGCTAGCCTGAGGCTTCCCGGGGCCAGGACATTCTGGGATGGATCTGGTGGCAGCTGAACCACTAGTGCCGCTGAGTGGGCCATGCAGTCCCTGCCAGAGTGGACAAGGACAAGGGGGACTTGTGGGCATGGACGGGGTCTTGTTTTCTTTCTGTTGTTGCGATGAAATACTCTGACTAAAGCGACTTAAGGGGAACTGTAAACTTATTTCAGTTTACAGTTCCAGGTTACAGTCCATAATGGCGGGGGGAAGTCACAGTAGCAAGAGTTTGAAGTAGCTGGTCCTGTCACATCAACAGTCAAAAGCGAAGAGCAACTGATACTTAGCTCTGTTCGGGTCCCCTCACCGTATACCCAGTCCAGGCGTCCAGTCAGGAAATGGCGCCACCAGGGTGGGTGTGTCTTCCCACCTCAATGAACAGAATCAAGACAATCGCTCACCTGCATGCTCACAGGTGGCTCCCCTGGGTGGTCACAGATTGTCAAATGGACGTTAATGCTGACTGTTGCAAACCGTATGCCCTGCCGACACTGTGAGAGGCGAACGCCCCTGAGCTCTAGGCTGAGTGCTCAGATTGGGCCCAACCACTTCTTGTCAGAGGAGCCCAGAGAAGGAGTCAAGTTGTCCAAGAACAGTAGAACACTGGCCTGTGCCCCGCACCTCCAGCTCCATGCTACCTGTCTGCGGCCCTAGGATTGGGTGTGTGGCCTGTGTGCTCATAGACATGTGGCGGCACCCAGACTTGCAGAGCCTCCCTGTTGCCAAGCATGGAGACTGGCTTCCTGGTGGCAGATTCCATTTTCCTGTCTCCTTGACTGAAGGAGGGAAGACTATAAATAATTCAGCTCATTCCACCGCAAACGGTCCAAGTGTCAGAGAGCAGCGGCTGGAATACAACTTTTTGCACAAGTCTTAATTGGTTTGTTTAGGATGAGGCCCCAGAGGCTCTGTCTGGGGCCCAGAGGGTTACCATTGCCCAACTGCAAGTCAGATGTGCCGCCCAGCCTGGAGGAGCAGAGGAGCGGGCAATGCTCCCTAGCCTGCCCACCTCGCGCGGGGTCTTGATGCTTCATTCTTGTAGCAGCAGCGCCACCTGGTGGTTGCCTCTGGCGCCTGCCCTTCCTTTGCCTTCTGGTGGACAGAACTTCCCGACCTTTGTGTGGCTTCCACCTCCACGTCCCCTACCTGTAGGATTCAGAGGCAATGACATTAATGACATGAGATGCCATTTCTCATCTGGGAGTTAGGATAATGACAGTGTTTGTGTCTCAGACACTTCTGAAATTTAAATAAGGCATATTCAGAGGCTTGGCCTCAAAGAACCGTAAGGCCATGAGCACACAGGAAGAACTGGTTGTTGCCATCAGCACTGAGGTCCATTCCTGCCGGTGAGCCCTTTCCAGGAGTTCCTGGGAATGTTCCAGCAGCCAGCCTTCTTCATATAGATGCATCTGTCCCTCCCAGGAGGGTGACCACTCATCTTAAGGTCCCTGTGGGACATTCAGTGAGCCTCCTAGGAGGCCCCCTCTGCTTCCATGCTTAGAGACTAGACTCATCAACGGGAAGGGCAGGGTCAGCTCCCCAACCAGGACTTCTATGCCCTGGCTCATGGGCCCAGTTTCCACAACCTCATACTGCAGGCACTGCGGCCCCGGCCCATCTGGGGTCTCCACACTGGGGTCAGAGTTGTGGAACTGTTGTCACAGTGACGCCCCAGGACGCAAGCCCTCACTCCATCATCGGCTGCCACTCAGCCTCGGGGAATGATAGGCCGTCGTCCACATTCAGATAGCACCATGTGCCACCCCTCTGCTCCAGCCCCCAAGCTCGCTGTTCTCACTGCCAGGGCACCACCAGCCTAGAGAGTCAGCCAACCCCAGTAAGAATTGTCTCCTGCTCACTCGTCTCCACTGCAGCACAACTGTGAACAGGTACACAAAGACTTTCCTAGAAAAAAAAACGAACGCAAAGATGAGTAGGAGTCAGGTGTTGGATGCTTCCGGAGCCAAGAGGAGGACAGAAGGCCAAAGCCAACGAAGCAAACGACTCTCCCAGCCTTTGTGACTTCCACAAGAGAGTCAGAGTTAAGAAACAGGAAGGTTTCCCTTATCTTCAGTTTTCCTTTCCACTCAGAATACCTGCTGTCTGTGATGTGAAAATATTAAATGGAAAATTCCGGAAACAAAAAAATTTACAATGTTTAAATTGCATGCTGTTCTGGGGAACTTGTTTAAATCAGGCACCATCTCACTCCATCCTGCCAGGACACTGAATTATCACCTTGTCCAGGCCCAGAGGTAGATACTCGTGATGCAAATGGACTAGAGAGAAACCATAAAGTGCTTGCAGGGGTCAACGTTTATCATAAGTATGCATATACAGGAAAAAACACAGTGTATACAGCAACAATACTCTGGGGTTTCCAGCACCCACTGGAGACCCAGGGTTTTCTATCAGGGTCCCCGAATCTGGCCCGGGGGCAATTGGACTGCCTCTGGCAGTTGGTACCTTGCCCTGCCCACAGCCAGCTTGTGTCTCCTTCCAAAGACCTGGACCTGCCCAGTTGTTCCAGATATCTCTGCCTCCAAAAGAGTTCTTCAAAAATGTTTTTTAAATTATGTGTATATGTGTGGAGGTAGAAGAAGTTGGTATATGCCTGAGAGTGGGGGTGCCCACAGGGACCAGTGGGTCCCTTGGAGCTGGAGCTACAGAGGCCTGATAGTTCAGGTCCCCTGCAAGAGCAGTGTGTGCTCTTGACCACCGATCCATCTCTCCAGACTGCTGAGAGGAGCCTTAGAGGACATGTGGGGTGAAACAGGAGGTGGGTCCCATGAAGTGGGGGGAACAGGATGAAGAAAGGGGGCCCTGAGGAAGAAGGCGGAAACTTCTTTGCGCTTCTAAGGCATGTCAGCTGATTTTCAGTCCTTTGAGTCTCTGTTCTATTAGCTTATTAGCTTGGGTTCTGGGCTGACTCTTGATCTGGAGGCAGAGTATCCGGTCCATTCAATGTTGGGTTCTGTACCCCGGGAAGCAAGGAGGAGGTATTCTGTGGAGTGTAGTATTGTATTCCCCCAAATATTGTGCATGCTAATAAACTTATCTGGGGTCAGAGACAGAGCAGCCACAATATTAAACATAAAGGATAGGCAGTGGTAGCACACACCTTTAATCCTAGCATTCCAGAGGCAGAAATCCATGTGTTCAAGGATACAGACAGGCATGGTGACTCATCACGCCTTTAATCCCAGAAAGCAAGTCTTTAATCTCAGGGAGTGATGGTAGAAAGCAGAAAGGTATATAAGGTGTGACGACCAGAAACTAGAAGCATTTGGCTGGTTAAGAATTTGGCTGGTTAAGCTTTTAGGTTTTGAGCAGCACAGTTCAGCTGAGAGCCATTGGGATGAGGACACAGAAGCTTCCAGTCTGAGGAAACAAGACCAGCTGAGAAGTTGGCCAGGTGAGGTTAGCTGTGGCTTGTTCTGTCCCTCTGACCTTCCAGTGTTCACCCCAATACCTGGCTCAGGTTTGATTTTATTAATAAGGACTTTTAAGATTCATGCTACAATGGAGGTTTCACCAAAGGAGCAAACTGAGCTTTCCATCTTCAGGATGGATTGTCCCCAGCACTGTGGCCAGATCCCACCCCCTCCGTGCTAAGCCATCAGGCACTCCCCATACATCCTTCCCCTTGCCTCCACTCCCATCCTTCACCAAAGCCAGAAGCCACCTTTATCCCTGCCTCACTGTCCCCACGCCCCGGCCCTGACGTCTCCTGCCTCCCGATCCACCCAGATGTTGAGCGATGGCCACACTTGCCTCCCGATCCACCCAGATGTTGAGCGATGGCCACACCTGCCTCCCGATCCACCCAGATGTTGTGCTCTCTGACAGTACGATGGCCACACTTGCTTCCCCATCCTGACTCCCACCCTCTCCGGCGACAACTGGCTCTTTCCAAAATGCACACTGGTCCTGTCCTTGCCACTGGATGCAATATGATGTCTTGTCACAGGCTAGCCTTTGGGCAGGACACTCAGTGACCCCTAAAATGCTCCAGACCCAGTAAGAACAAGGACACTGTCCCTTGAGTCCTTGGTGTCACTCGAGATAGGACAAACCTTGAAAAGGTTGGGAGAAAATACAGTTGGTTCTCCACACCCACAGCTCTGCTTCTGCCAATTCCACCAACTACAGATGGAGGATAATCAGGAGGAAACATGGCATCTGTATTGAACATATGCAGGCTTTTATCTTGTTGTTATTCCCTAAACAATCAGTATAACAACTATGCACTCCGCACTTATACTGTGGTACATGGTATAAGTCATTTAGAGTTGATGTAAAGGATACGAAAGGAGGCGTGAGGTTCTGTGCAAATGCTACATCCTTTTATAGAATGGACTTGAGCGTTTACTAACGTGGTATTCTCTGGAGTACTAAAAACACTCCCTCAGCAGACGTCAAGGGATGGCCATACATGCACTACCCACTCCTTGTCACTTGGGGTGCCTGCCTGCACATCAAGGCTCACAGGGTACAGCTCATATTGCTGTTTTCTGAAGTCCTGCCTTCCTGGGCTCCCCCTCTGTAATGCAGCTCCTGTCTGGGACAATGCTCCCCAAATCTGTCTCTCTACCCTGCCCTTTAGAGATCTTTCTGGGGATTCCAAAGCTGGGAAATGGGTCCTGGACCCCCTTGAGCTCTGCCCCATAGCATGAACCCTTGGGGCTGGGGAAAGCTGCTAACAGTCTGCCTTCTTGGAACGGACAGAGAACAAAACAAGACAAGAACAAAAACACAAATCAATATTTCAATAAATTACCCTGCCGCGGCAGTGAAATCACCTTGTCTGCCAAGAGAGGCGCAGGACTGGAGCCCAGCACCGGGAAAAGATGGAATCAGCCGGTGTCCAATCTGCAGCCCGGTGGGGTGCTCTGTCCACTGCAGTGTCGGGCCCTGTCTGCAAGCGGGGAGGGGGTCCTTCCCCGGAAAGATCTGCCTTTCTTCGGAAGTTCTTAAATGAGTGACTCGGGGAGAGGGGTGGAGTTTTGTCCTGTCCACTAAAGCCATTTTCACTCAAGCCAACCCCACTATTGGGTCGGGAAGTGCTTGGGAATTGAACCCAGGTTTTTGGTGTTCTGAGCTGCCACTGTATCCACTGAGCTTGTAAACTTTACGTTTAGTAGTCGACCCATCCGAGACATCTGGTCTGGCAAGCCTGGGCCTCTGTTCTTGAATGCCAGCCATGGGCCGTTGTTCAGTGGCCATGACCCCTGAAGATACCTGAGTTTTCGACCTCTTCCCAGAACCTCCTGGGGGTAACGGGGACCTTCTGTCTGCATAGTATTGACCCATTTGCTCTTACCCTGCACCAACCTGGCTCCTGCCTTCCGTCCTGTCTTCCTCCTGTTCACTGTTCCAAATATCTGAGTCTATACTCCTGGCTGGACTCTTCAGTCTCTTCAAAGACTTGGCCGGAGCTCTTTTTCTACACTGGCGTGCGGCACGCCAACCAGCTAGCTGCCGTTATTCCCCCGCCAGCCAGGGTCCTTGCCTGGCGTGTTCGTGGTTCCCACAAAAGAGGGGGTGTGTCGCTCAGAATTCTTTTGGATGCAAGTGACAGTAACACACCTCCAAATCGCTTGACTCTTACGTGAGTCAGGTGGGAAAGGTGGCCCGACAGTCCCCACGGCTGTGGTACGGTCGCCTCTCCTGTCCTGGGCTAGACTGAGATTGGTTAATGGACCGAGCCTTTGTGTTCAATATGCATGCATTCTTTCGTTGTCTCTTCAGCCATTAGTACTAGAGAAAGCAGGCTGCCAATTGGGGCTACCTGGGTTGCATGGTGAGGAACACACACACACACACACACACACACACACACACACACACACACACACACACACCCAACAGTCTAGGGCAAATGGGGTCCTGCTTCTAACCGAGGAGTGAGCTTGGTAGGGGGATGGCCTGACCCCAAAGGAGACTTGACATAAGTCTCCAACCCCACTCTCTGTTGACAGTGTGGAAAGTCATGCAGGTAAGGGTGACCGGGAACCTTCCCCTCCATTCAGAAAAATAGAGCAGAATGGAAGGCGAGTCTTGGAAGTGACTTAGCAGGAAGCTGAGTGGCCCCTGGACCAGAGGCTGGGATCTGTGAGCACAACTGTTGGTATCTGCCAGATACCAACTCCATTCCTCTGTCTCTCTCCACCCACTGTAGTCCATGAGCCTCATTGAAATTGGGAACCCCTCTCAGAGTCTGGAGAATGTCTGTCGCTGGGCCTACCTCCAGCAGAAGCCGGACACAGACCACGATGAGTACCACGACCATGCCATCTTCCTTACACGGCAGGACTTCGGGCCCTCCGGCATGCAAGGTTAGTCCTGTGCCGGGGAATGCAGGGAAAGAAGCTGGGGCGTGCAGGGGCTCCCAACAGCTGAAGCCTAGTCTGGAGAAGAGGGGCAGGGAGTGGAGGAGCTGTGGTGACCTTAGCTGCCGGAGCGTCTGGGTTGGTAGTGTCGACCTCCTGGCTCCAGAAAACCACCAAAGCCGGATTCATTTCCCTGACCCCCATCCGACCCCTCAAAAACAAAACAAACTAACAAACAAAACAAAAAACCACCACTGCTCCTAGGAACAGAGGAAGGTCAGGAATGGTAGGCTACACCAGACAGGGCTTGAGAGCATGAAGATGAGACCGTGTCCGGAGTCTGGACTCCAGGGCTAAGTTTCTTCCCCTGGCAGCTGAGATAAGCTACCGATGGATTCTTTACACAAGGTTCAAACTACATAAAACCAACAGACACAAAAGACAAAAAACTGACCAAACTGCGTGGTTGAAGATGTTAATAGACGCCTCTTAGGAACCGGTAGACCAACAGATAAGAAGATGAGTGAAGGCGTACAAGTTTCGAGCCGATGAGGCTAGATGGCCCCGCTGGAAAAGGCACCTGCTGCCAAGCCAGAGGACATGAGTTCAATCCCCAGGACCCACACGGTGGGAGGCGAGAAGAAACTCCTGCAAGTTGTCCTCTGACCTTTACACAGGCATTGTGGCCCGCACACACATACACACACACACACACACACACACACACACACACACCAATAAAAGTTTGTAAAGCCTGTATATAAAGCTAACATCATAATAAATTGATACATACAGCTGTTATTAGGAAGAAGGTTGAAATAAGTCATAGATACACATGTCTCAAGTAATTTAGCAAAGAACAACCGACGAAACCCAACAGCGTAGAAGGTTGGAAATGGTTGTAGTCCAATCATAGAAGCAGAGTCATTCCACAGGGTGAGGAAGAGAGAGCAGGCAGGAAGCTGCTGAGGTGACAGACAAGGCCCAGCAGAGACCTGGGCCAGTTGCAGTGTGGCCTGTGACCGGCAATGTGGCCACCAAGCCCTGGCCATGGGCAGGGTGCCTGCAGTCAGTGCAGGTATCTTCTGAGTCCCACCAGCGGGGGGCAGCTGATGCTGTAGGCCTGCTCTGGGGAGGGATGCTATCTGGGAGTTTGGATCTGGGGCTGTCTGGGGGTATCCAGGCCTGGAGGCTGGAGCCACCTTCTCTCTCCTCCCAGGGTATGCTCCTGTCACTGGGATGTGCCACCCTGTCCGCAGCTGCACCCTGAACCATGAAGATGGCTTCTCCTCGGCATTTGTGGTGGCTCATGAGACCGGCCATGTGTAAGTGGCCTGACCATCCTTGTATGGAGAAATCGGATCCTCTGCTCCTGGCTGACCACTTTTCCCTGTGCCTGAGAGGGACAGCCATGGAGGAGAGCCACTTAGACTAGCTTTCCTGTTACTCTGGCCTGAGGTCAGCTTTCTGCTGACAAAGCAAATCGAAAACAAACAAACAAACAAAAAAAACACCTGGGGGCAGAGTGAGCTTTGGGCCACAAGTCCCAGGGTCAGAACTTTTTGTAGATGGGTCCCCAAGGCTCTGAGGGAGGGTAGCCCAGGGTCAAAAAGCCAGGACTGCCCAAATGTGCACATTCCAGGCAACAGTAGAGACACTGAATCTCGGGGCCAGATAAGCATTAATGGGTTTTTGCAAAGCTGCTGGGGGTGTGCAAGAAGAAAGAGTACCCGGGATGCTCTGGGCTATAGACATCCCTGCCCCCACTGTGCATTCAGGAAATAGTGGCCCTCCTTGGGGACAGAGTGAGGGGCCTGCCTGGTGGATGTCCTCTTCACAGAAGAGCTGTGGCTTTTCAAGACTCTTGTCAATGTGGGCCAGAGTAGAGAAGCTCAGAGATATTCACTGTGGTTGTTAGCAATGCCTTCCTGGTTGAGGTGTGGGGATATGGAAGGTCAGTGCAGTCAGGCAAGGGTCTAGCCAGTCTGCCTTGCTCCCCACACAGGCTGGGCATGGAGCATGACGGGCAGGGTAACCGTTGCGGTGACGAGGTGCGGCTGGGCAGCATCATGGCGCCCTTGGTACAGGCTGCCTTCCATCGATTCCACTGGTCCCGCTGCAGCCAGCAGGAGCTCGGCCGCTACCTGCAGTGAGTACCTCCCTGGGCCCCTAAGGGTGACCTCTCCTTGGGTTCAGTTCTAAGAGGGCCCAGTGCCCAGTGTACTTGGGTCCACCCTGAACCCTAAGACCTTGAGGCCTCTGGCCTGACATGCAAGGGATGGGTGAGAGACCCTGATGCCAGGAGAGGACCCCACTCTGGAGGGTTCGAACCTTGACACTGAATAGGCCAGAAGCTGCCCTAGCCAGGTCTTGAAATCTCAAACTGATGGAGGAGGTAAACCGAGGCACCACAGCTAAAGACGAGGGTTATGAAGTCTTGCCCACCACGGTAACTCCAGAAAGGACCTCAGCCTCCCCAGTGAAGGTTGCTTATGGCACCCACGTGTCCCCTTACAGTTCCTATGACTGCCTGCGTGACGATCCCTTCGCCCATGACTGGCCGGCATTGCCTCAGCTCCCAGGGCTGCACTATTCCATGAACGAGCAGTGCCGCTTCGACTTTGGCCTGGGCTACATGATGTGCACTGCGGTGAGTGTGTGTGTGGGGGGGGGGGGGACACAGAAGTGTCCCCAGGGCCCTGTGGTGAGGACACTTAAGGCACCAGCCACTCCTGCCCAGGCCCATAGGGATGCCCACTCCATTTTCGCGAAAGACATTCTGCCTCTCATCTGCCTGTTAAAGCTCTACCAGATGGGCGGCCTCCAAGGCTGGAGACTCGGGGGGCTCAGCAATACCCAGAGACTCGGTCCTATCCACACTGCATGCACATGGTCCTCATGACCTCAGAAACACGAGGATCTTGCAGCACCCACCCACACAGGCATGTTCACGGGCCAGTTCAGGTTACAGGACTGGTGTGAGCGGGTGGAATTTTGGGTGGTCTGCTGAGGAGGGAGGTCGCCTGATAAACTGAAGGTATTCTCTTCCAGTTCCGGACCTTTGACCCCTGCAAACAGCTATGGTGCAGCCACCCTGACAACCCTTACTTTTGTAAGACAAAGAAAGGCCCCCCACTGGATGGGACTATGTGCGCACCTGGCAAGGTGAGTCAGGACTAGGGGCTCTTTGGGGGTCATGAGGCATTGTGCTTAAGGCACACAATAACCATGGACAGGCCCTGGAGTGTCTGTAGGAGGAACCAGGAGACTTCTTAGGAGGCCCTAGCTTGCCCCGATTCCTTGCTTCCCCGCCCATTTTTGATGCACCCTGTCTTGCAGCCCCGGCTGGTCTTAAACTTGATAGGTAGCTAAGGATGACCTTGAACTTCGGATCTTCCGGTCTCCACCTGCCTGGTGCTAGGATGGCACCATGCCAGGTTTATGTGGTCCTAGGGATAGAACCCAGGGCTTCCTGCATACCACACAAACATGCTAACTGAGCTACACCCCCAACCTTCATTCCTACTTTTAATCACTCTCCACACTGGACAGATTGGAGCTTCCCACATCAGAGCAGACCCGTCACCTCAAGATCCCTTCCTGCCCGTTGTGGGTAGCTATGGGTCACTTTGCTATGAAGCCAGCAAGAAGCCTGGTAGCTCCCAGGTACAGCATGAGGTTTAGCCTCGACAGCCCCAGGGCCTCTGGCTTGTCCCTTGTCAAGATCACTCACTGCTTGGCCACCCACCCTCTCCACAAGTCTATGGAAAGAAAGTATTCTTTTCCTGTTTGTCCAGCCAAGATTCCAGGCCCCATTCTCATTGGTTCAGGTGAAATAATATGCTCACGCCTTAGCCAATCATTTTCTAGGGGCCTGGAGTATGCAGGTGGGCTTGAACAAGGATTCCTTCCTCTCAGGGCTCAGCCGAGCTTGGAACTACCCAGCCATCAGGGGTCACTGTGTGCGTGCGAGAATTTCTCTTACCCCCTGTGATAAGAATATTGATCCATTTCATGAGGGCCGTGACTTCATGACCTCCTCAAAGCTCCACCTCCCACACCATCATGGTGGGGATTAAGGCTTTATTTACCACATGAATTGGAGGGGACACAAACATTAAGTCCACAGTGTTCCTCCTTGCCCGTGAGTTCTACCTCCTCCACCAGCTGACAGGAGCAAGCGCCACCCTGTCTGTGAGTTCATCTCCTCCCCACCACGTTTACGTGAGGGGAGCCTTGCAGGGAACGCACCCAGAAAGGAGATGCTGGAATCACTTAGTCATGATGGCCGGCCATGTGTCCGTCTGCCCAGCCTGAGAGCACTAGACACGTATCTTGACATGTACTCAGTCAGACCTCTGAGAGGGACGCTTCAGAGATGGACAGCCACTGCGGCCTTCCTGCCAGATCTCTCCTTCTACTGCATGGATGCCAGGGATCAAACTTAGGATGTCAGGCTTGGTGACAAGTACCTTTACTTGCTTAACCGTCTTGCTGGCTCCTCGATTTATAGTCTGGTGCTCCACACAGACTCAAGTACACACATGCACCCCCACCCTCACACTCACATAGGCAATATGTGTGTTTTCCCACACACATGCAACACACACACGCACACATATGCACTCATGCATGCTCATACACATACAAGTAGGAAAAAAAATGATGGTTTTCCAGTGTGGTCATTTGTGGTAATTGTGCTATTAATTATCTTTATTTTGAGTGATGTTTTCTTATTCTAAACCAACAAACCACGTGTTGGATTGTGATGTACTGAAATACTAATTTACTCTTTTACATTTTGGAGTCTTCCTAACATGGCTTCTTACAGGGTTTTATACGCTTCCTCCCCTGGGAAGAAGGAGAGGATGGAATTTAATGTTCTTCCCGCCAGTGTTCTGCCTCCTGTGTTTTCCTTAGACCTGACGTTTCTCTCAGATCCCTGGCTTCTTGTTCTTGTTGCGTCCTTGTCCAGGCACATGGGGGCATTTGTCCGGGAACACGACATGCCACAGGCACAGTGTGGTTCAGAGTAGGCTGGACAAGGCCCTGAAGGGTGGTCTGGGTATCCCATTCCTCTTATTGTCACAGGCAAGGTGAGGTCTGTCTGAAGTGCTTTGGTCTTCAGGGCCAGGAAGATCAGACACTTCAACCCCTCCCCCACCCCGGGTCAGACACTACAGCCCCTCCCCCACCCCCAGATCAGACGCTACAGCCCCTCCCCCACCCCCAGGTCAGACACTACAGCCCCTCCCCCACCCCCAGGTCAGACACTACAGCCCCTCCCCCACCCCCAGGTCAGACACTACAGCCCCTCCCCCACCCCGGATCAGACACTTCAGCCCCTCCCCCGCCCCCAGATCAGACACTTCAGCCCTTCCCCCCGCCCCAGGTCAGACACTACAGCCCCTCCCCCACCCCAGATCAGACACTTCAGCCCCTCCCCCGCCCCCAGATCAGACACTACAGCCCCTCCCCCACCCCCAGGTCAGACACTACAGCCCCTCCCCCGCCCCCAGGTCAGACACTACAGCCCCTCCCCCGCCCCCAGGTCAGACACTACAGCCCCTCCCCCGCCCCAGATCAGCTCATAGCCCCTTGCCTTCAGAGCAGGCCCAGGGCAGCCATTGCAGACACTGGTCCACTGAGTGAGTAGGCCACTCCAGCAACTCTGGTGTGGGTGATGGGTGAAGGGAATGCCTTCTTGTCTTTGTAATTACTTTTGTTGTTTTTAATTTGGGGGGTGAGGCATGTGCCACAGAAGTCAGACTACGGCATAGGGAATTCATTTCCCTTCTTCCCACGTGGGTCCCCGGGATGGAACGCAGGTCGGTAAGCAGCAAGTCCCTTTGCCCACGGAGCCGCCTCACCAGCCCATCTTCCATCTTTTAGCATTGCTTTAAAGGTCACTGCATCTGGCTGACACCGGATATCCTCAAACGAGATGGCAACTGGGGCGCCTGGACTCCGTTCGGCTCCTGCTCACGCACCTGCGGCACGGGCGTCAAGTTCAGGACCCGCCAGTGTGACAACCCACAGTGAGTTGAGCTGACATTGGGTCCCACAGCCCGATTCTGCAGGGCTTTGGGCATTGCTGCGTGCCGGGTTCAGGGAGAGTGAGTGCAAGGCAAACCTGCCCGTCTTTAGTTGTCTCTGAAGCTGGGGTTCTGAGGGAGGGCTCCAGGATTCCACCACACCCTGGGAACATCAATTCTTGGTCACTACCCTTGGTCACTATCCTGGACTGTGGAGTCCACTCTAGACACAGGCTTCCTCTGCCCTTCTTGGCTTAGGGAGTGGAGGATAGAAGGTGGGGAAGAGATGGGGAGCTGGGGCGTTCCACAGAGGAGACTCTCATGGGTCCCAGGATGCCAGCAGCCTGGACAGTGGTAATTGGAGCCAAGCAGCTGTTTTGCAGTCAGGTGAGAGACAGGGTTAGGGGCTGCCAGTCATGCCGCAGTACCCAGGCTCCTTACCCTCAGCCCCCACCCCCTCCTTCCCTGCGGGTTCTGGGACTGCTCACACACGGTGGGGTCATTTGTCTAACTTGTGTTGGACTATCTGGTATTTTAATTTTGTTTTACCTGAAAATATTGTCAACCTAGAATGTCACATAAAACCATAAACCGATTGCCAGCCCCTAAGTGGGCCAGAGGCAGGCTGGCTCGAAAGTCCCTGGACATATCCAGTCTGTCTGGTCTCACTGAGGCAACTAGTAAGAATCATTATTGCTTGTGACAAAACACCGTGACCAAAAAGCCAGTTGGGGAGGAAAGGGTTTATTGGGCTTACACTTCCGCATTGCTGTTCATCACTGAAGGAAGTCAGGACAGGAACTCAAACAGAGCAGGATCCCGGAGGCAGGAGCTGATGCAGAGGCCATGGAGGGGTGCTGCTGACTGGCTTGCTTCCCCTGGCTTGCTCAGCCTACTTTATTATAGAACCCAGGACCACCAGCCCAGGGATGGCACCACCCACCTGGGCTGGGCCCGCCAACACTGATCACTAATTAAGAAAATGTACCACAGCTATATCTCATGGAGGCATGTCCTCAACTGAGGCTCCTTCCTCTCCAATGACTCTAGCTTGTGTCAGGATGATGCAAAGCCATTCAGTACAAATGCCTCTTCTCTGTTCCCTGAGGCAGCTGGAGTGTTTGCATCAGATCAAACACTGTCTGCCAGGGAGCCAAAGAGATCAGCAGTCACGGCCGTGGGGAGAAGGGCAAAGTCTTTACCAAGGATGAGGACAGATGACCTGTGTCTGGTCACCCTATCCGTACATGGAAGCCTTTTGGGGCGCCAGGCCGTCCTACTGCAAGGAGCCTGGTGGGGAAGTGGAGCACTGGGGCCCTGTGAACAGCTCTGGGGGATTTTTCTCTTGCTTTGGGAAGAGAGCTAGAGCCCAGCAGAGAGCCAGAACCACAAAAGGCCCTGGTGGGGTGGAACTGTTCTCTGCACAGAGAGGAAGTCACAGAAGCTCGTGTTTTCTAAGGCGGAGAGACCCAGCCCGACACCAGACGTCTGTTAGGGACTCGTGCGTGTACAGTTCCACAATTTCAGGATTGTTCTGGATGTTTCCTGCTGCATGACAGCTCTGTGTGCCCAGTCATAAGGGAGACTCAGCCGGCTCTGGTTATCCGGGGATTTGTAATCCAGTGGGGGCAGGCAGAATCTTAACCTGCGGTCACAGATCTGTGCTCGTTAACAGTCCTGGGCTTCGATGCCAGGGTGAAGGTGGTGTGCCCAGGGAAGACGCTGCCTTCTCGAGAGAGCACAGATGAGGGGTGGTCCCTGTCAGCTCCTCCTAGTCCAGATGGCCCAAGGCCCGCCTGGCTGGGGAGCTACCCGGGCCCTAGGAGGACTGTGTCTCTTTGCTCAGTAGAGATGCCCCTTCCACACCTAAGACTCAAGGATTTCCCTAAAATGCCATCCATGGCCAGGTCTTTTTCTAGAGGCCCCAAGAAGGGGAACCTTTGATTTCTCTCGCAGCCCAGCCAACGGGGGCCGCACCTGCTCCGGCCTGGCCTACGACTTCCAGCTCTGCAATCCCCAGGACTGCCCCAACTCCCTGGCTGACTTCCGGGAGGAGCAGTGCCGGCAGTGGGACCTGTACTTTGAGCACGGCGACGGCCAGCACCACTGGCTGCCCCATGAACACCGGGATGGTGAGCTTCCTGGGGAGGGCAGAGGTGGGATTCAGCACAGGACCCCAGGTGGGGCAGGCAGGGGCATGCCTTGTTTTACACCTTTGATCCTGCATGGGGTAAAGCTGTGGTGACCTTTGGGCCAGCAACAGGGCACAGGGCTGGCTATGTGGCTGCAGGGTCCCACTCCTGAGCAAGGGCTCTGGGCTGGGGACAGGGCTCCTGTCCCAGGGGAACCAGAACCCTGGACATGTAGAGGCTGCTGGGATGGAAGCTCAGAGGGTACAAACTCCTACAGTGATCATCTAGGGAACAAGGTTAGAGTTACATGGTGCTACAAGTGTGGGATGGGAGCAGAGGTTGACCCTGCGAAGCAATCGGGCGACTTCTGATTGGTAGTTTCCTTTCTGTGGCTGTGATAAAATACCTCAACAAAAATAACTTAGGAAGAAAGGGTCTGTTCTAGTTAACAGTTCCAGGTTGCGATCCATCACAGCAGGGAAGTCAAGGTCACAGGCATCTGATACATGAGGAGTCAAGTGCAGAGAGAATGGATGTATGAGCTCAGCTCTTTCTCCTTTTCATACAATCCAGGGAATGGCACTACCCGATTTCAGGCTGGGTCTTCCCACATTAGTTAAAGCAGTGAAGACAATCCCCTACACACACAGTCCCAGGCCAACCTAGTCTAGACCAACCCTCACTGGGATCCTCCCCAGGAAGTTCAAGACTGTGTCAAGTTGGTAATGGAAATCAACCATCATAGCACACTCTCTCATATTACTTTCCATTGTGAGTGGCTGAACCAAACAGGTGAAGCATTAAATGGCATTGATTTTGTGTCTTACAGAATTGAAAAATTGGTAGCTTTAGGCAGAGGAGTGCTTGATAATTGCCCCTCCATTTTAGTGCTCCCTCCTTATAGGATACCCAGCTCCACGAATGTTCAAGTTCCTGTATTAAGGAGTGGAGTGTCTGTGTATACTACCTAACACGCCGGAGATGCTATGAAAATGGTTGCTATGTAGTTACTTTTCTATTGCTGAGATAAAACACCATGACCAAGGTGATTTATCTATCTATAAAACATCTGCCTTGGCTTATGGTTTCAGAGGGTTAGAGTCCAGGATGGCGGAAGGAAAGAACAACTGAGAGCTCACATATCGATCTATAACAATGAGGCAGAGAGCCAGCAAGCATGGGAGATCCCATGAGTCTTTTGAAACCTAAAGCCCTCTACCCCCCAGTGACACGCCTCTCCCAGCAAGGCACGCCTCCCACTCTTTCCCCACACCTCCTAATCCTTCCCAAACAGTTCCACCAACCGAGGACCAAATATTCACACAGATGAGCTATTCTCATTCAAGCCACCAGAGTTGTTCATCTGTATTAGCTAGAGGATAACAAGGAAGCATGCCTACAAGGTCAGTACAGATGCAATTCTTTTTCAAGTATTTTCAGTCTGTTGTGGGTTGAACCCACAGATGGAGGACATGAACACAAAAGGCTAGTTCCGTTCCATCGGAGTCTCCCGTCCATGTGTATGTTTTAAACACACAATTCCTGTCCCCTGCCCCAGGCACTGGGCAGGGATGGGGACTGGGTGTGAGTCTGGGGTACCAGTTGGAGTCGCCTGCTTGTGCCTCACATGTGTTGATGCCTGCAGGGTTGAGGGGTGACAGAGCAGACGGGGCTGGAGGACACCCAGTCTGGTGACTCAGTGTATCAATTGCTTCTGATAAGGTACTGCAGAAAGAGGGAAGTGCCAGGGGCTTGAGCGTGACTGCAAGAGGGTCTGGCTGCGTTTGGGACTGGCTGCGTTTGGTTGATTGAAAATGGCTCTTTTCTCTTTTTAATCAGCATCATTCACTAAACAAAATAATAGGCTTCACCGTGACACTTTAATACATGTCTGTCACATTTTGATTATATTGCTCCTCTATTATCTTCTCCCCACACTAACATGGTGGGGAGACAATCTGCATATGAGAGAAAATGTGATACTTGTTTTTCTGAGGCAGGCTTAATTTGTTTAATATGATAAATCTCAAGTTACACCCATCTTCCTGAAAACAATGTAATTATCTTCTTCTCTATGTCTGAATAAAACTTCCATGTGTACATATCACATTTTCTTTATCCATTCCTCCGATGATAGATTTCTAAGCTGATTCCATACCTTGGCTCTTGTGGACAGTTTAGATGTTCAGGCATCTCTAATGGTGTGCTGACTTAGACTCCTCTGGATGTATTCCCAGGAGTGGTACAGCACAGCATGTGGGAATCATAGGTTTAGTTTTCTGAAGAACGTCCACACTGATTTCCATAGTGGCTGCACTCATTTACACTCCCACCCACAGTGAGGGAGGGTTCTGAAGAAGGCTCTTTAGATGGAGACTGGGCAAAGAGCCCTTTGCTTCTGCAGAGTTGAGGGTCTCCATCAGGCAGGGCTGTGAGGATGGAAGATGCGGGCTATAGACACATCCTGGGTGGACGGGAAATCTCTCTCTCTAAGACTTGATAGCACCAGAGTCAAAGTCTCGGAAGCCAAAGAGGTAGTAGGAAGGAGGTTGCCATCACCTGTGCCTCTCTCTCTGTCATCCCAGAGCACAGATTTCAGGGACTGGAGGTAGGGCAGGTGAGTTCTAAGAACATTGGAAATTTTTTTCCTCTGGTGTGGTGCTCTTTCAAGAAGGCTCTAGCCTAATACCTTGCCACTTCCCTTCCAGCCAAGGAGAGATGCCACCTCTACTGTGAGTCTAAGGAGACAGGGGAGGTGGTGTCCATGAAGCGCATGGTGCATGATGGGACACGCTGCTCCTATAAGGATGCCTTCAGCCTCTGTGTGCGTGGGGACTGCAGGGTGAGTGCCACGCGGCAGCGTGGGCCCAAGTTCAGGGTTGCCACCTCCTGGGAGCCCCTCTTGTTCTGCTCAGGACCCACTGCCTAGGGAATGGTGCCGCCCGTCGTGGGCTGGGCCTTTCCTACATCAATTTGCAGTTGATACAGTCCTCCACGACAGACATTCTGGTTCTGGTGCACAGACACACGGGGGCCAAGCCCTGTGGAACATGGGATCTGGGCTCAGACTAAGCTCTCCATGCTTACTAGGAAAGCCTCAGCATCTCCGGGCTGTTGCGGGGAGTGAGCAGGATGTAAAAACAATGTCAAGCGCACCCTTCACCAGGCTTTGACTCTTAAGGATCCCACCACCTCATTGTTGTTCCACTGGAACAAAGCAGCCTAAGCTTCAGTGGGGTCCCTCAGGGCTGCCTTGGGGGTGTGCTAGGTGGGTGCTCTTGGAGAAAGGCAGCCTGGAGGGGCTGAGGGCGGAAGTGCTGTAACAGGATAGGCCCCGTGCTCTGCATGCACTGAGGCCAGGAGAGGGCACATGGCTCAGCATGGCCACATAGGGTCTGCCTCTCTCCAAAGCCCTTCTTCTCCCTTGTCAGGGTGACTAAGAACGGATATACAGATCCCGGCTGTGGGAGGGATCGGGTCCTGTGGGTGTTGGGGGACTCAGGCGTGAGCAAGGACGAGGTCTCAAAGGTTCCCCGCCCTCTCTTGCCCGGCAGAAAGTGGGCTGTGATGGGGTGATCGGTTCCCGCAAGCAGGAAGACAAGTGTGGAGTGTGTGGAGGCGACAACACCCACTGTAAGGTGGTGAAGGGCACGTTCACGAGGTCACCCAGGAAGCAAGGTGAGAAGCCCATCTTCTGCCCTGGGGTAGAATGTCAACAGCACCTTGTGGGGCTAGGGCCCGAATGTCCCCACTCCCAGGAGGGACTCTGTATAGGCCCATGACTGTTTGGGGCTTGGGGCTGTGAGGGTCAGGGGGAAAGGGAGCCTGACTGGGGATCTTGAGTCTAAGTGACAATAGGTATGGAGGATGGAGAACAGGGCCTGGGTTACAGGTGGACCTTAGAAGCCAGAGGTCAGGGGCCCGCCCACAAATATCAGTCCCCTCAGCCCTCCAGGAGGCCCAGCTACATGTTATTTGCTCCCTCCCTCTCTCCTGCCCACAGATGGCTACCATCAGGACTTTCCTGAATCTAGCCCGTGGGGGATACCCACAACCCTCATCCAAAACACAGCAGCCTGGTACTGATGCTGTGCTTCCATTTGACCCAGCACCCTATGGGTTGGCCGGCAGCAGCTGAGCACATCTCTGTCTCTGACATGGAGACACGCCTCTTTGGTTTTCTTGTGAAAGGCCAGAGAGCAAACATGTAGGTCCTGGTGAGGAGCCGTGAGCCAGGAATGTCCTTGTGGCTCAGGTGCTCAACACTGGCCTCGCCACTCCTGCACATGGGGTTCTAACATGGTTTGAAAATGGAGGGACTGAGGTGCAGATAGGCCATGTGGCTTGCCTGGAGCCTCCCTCCCAGCATGGCTGGGGACTGGATTCCCACCTAGATGTTCAGTGGAGGAGGCAGTATTGAGATACCTGGGATTTGAAGATGAGAAATGCAGGGTAGGGCATATCAGAGCTTTCCATTCAACTCCTCTCCTACCAAGTACAGTTGGGAGCGCCAGTGATGGAGCTGCCTTGGAGGGCAGGCCTCTCCTGGAGCATGCACATTGAAATGGTTTTTTGTCTTCTCATCTGACTTCCTTCCTACCCCCAAAGAGTACGTCAAGATGTTTGAGATCCCCGCTGGAGCCAGACACCTGCTCATCCAGGAGGCCGACACCACCAGCCACCATCTGTGTGAGTCAGAGCCAAATGTCTTAACATCTGTGAGACCTGGTTCTTCTGGGATGGGCAGAGTACCAAAGGTCAGAGCAGAGTACCGAAGCTCAAAAGCTTGGGTTGTGCGGCCAGGTCCTGAGATCAACAGCCCTGACTGACAGATGTGCTTCAGCCCTAGTCCACCTGTCCCAGTCCACTTCCTGGGCTTTCATGCATGCATGCATCTTCTGGGGAAGGTCAGAGCTTGAGATCAGAGGGCTCCTCTGGCAGCATCTGCAGCCCTATGTCCCAGACAGACCGTGTTCCTCCAGTTTGCAGAAGAGTGGAAGATCACCCTGTCCGAGGGTCGCTGAGATAGGCAGTAGGTCCCATGCAGAGGTTAGCCTGATCTCTGTAGAGCAGGATGTGACCCCCAAAGTAAGTTGGGCTACTATTGGCCAAGACAGACCCCCAGTGGCAGCTGTGGGGGAGGCAGCTGGAAACCCCCCTCCTACCCACTAGTAGCAGCGTGCTGGAGTGACTATGTGCTCCCTTTTACCATCCTCAGCCGTCAAGAACCTGGAGACAGGCAAGTTCATCTTAAATGAGGAGAACCACCTGGACCCCAATTCTCGATCCTTCATTGCCATGGGTGTGGAGTGGGAATACAGGAATGAGGATGAGAGGGAGACGCTGCAGACCATGGGCCCACTCCACGGAACCATCACTGTCCTGGTGAGTCCTGTGCCAGCCCATGCGTGCACACGACCCCAGGAAAAGATGGGAGCCCTGGGACGCCCAAGCTCCCTCTGCATTCTTCAGCCTTAGCTCTAAGCAGCCTCTTTCCCTGCCATGGTCTCCACCTCCAAGTCAGCCATGAGTGGGCATGGGCCCATACACCAGGGCTCTGCTTCCTGTACCAACTCTCACTGACAGTGGCAGGCTCCTCTCTAGAGGTTTCCATGTTTTCTATTTGAATGACGGTCACAGTTCATACCATCAGATCCATTAACCTCTGCTGTTGCACTGAAATCCTCATACCTGAGAGATCAGAAACCAGTCACACACTGGACCTTGTGTCCAAGCAGTACTGGCTCCCAGGTTCCCCTGGGTGTAGGATCACAAGGCTGCTCCTGGTTATGGGGGACCCTGAGGGGGCTGGATTTTCAAGTCACTTTAAGATTCTTAGTTTTAATGAATTGCTCGAATGATAGAGTTTATTTACCCAAACCAACAAACACACTGAGCCAGGAATGGTGTCAGACACCTGCAATCCCAGCCCAGGAGGCACAGCAAGGAAATTAAAGCAAGTTTACATAGCAGATTTCATAGACGATTTAAGGTCCACATAGCAAGTTCCAGCTAATGGGCCAACTTAACAAGTCCTTGTCTCAAAAATGAGGGTGAGCTGGAGAGAGAGGGAAGGCTGGAGATACGGCTCAGAAGGTAAGAGTACTCACTGCTCTACCAGAAGACTAGAATTTGTACCTCAGCACCCACAGAAGGCAGCTCACAAATGCTTATAACTCTGGCTCCTAGGGACTTGACACCCTCTTTAGGCCTCTATGGGCATTGAATGAGTGCATGCATGAAAAATAAATCAATAAAATGTAATTAAAAAAATTTTAACGTAGCCTGTGAGATCCTAGCTCTATATAGATTTTCATAGTGGTTTAATCTTCATAAACATGGCATACAAAAGTGCATTGGTTGTACCTAAACTACAGCTAGTACTCACTGCCATTGTTAGCATCACAAGAGGCTTACACCACATCCCACAAGCCAGGGAAAAGGTCCAAATTTCAAACTCTTAGGTGTCGTTGTAAAGTTGAAAAGCCACTGAAGATGACCATCGTAAGTCATGGACTGCCTCTCTCCCCTGGTTGTCAGTCTAGCTCTAAGTTGGCTATAGAGGGGGATGGAAGGCTGGGCAGACATTCTCATGACCATGTTGGGGTGGGCCCAGGTTATCCCCGAAGGAGACAGTCGGATCTCACTGACATACAAATACATGATCCACGAGGACTCGCTCAATGTCGACGACAACAATGTCCTGGAAGATGACTCTCTGCGCCACGAGTGGGCCCTGAAAAAGTGGTCTCCCTGCTCCAAGCCCTGCGGAGGAGGTGACGGGGGGTTCTCACTGCTGGGGCTCTTGGGCTTGATTGGAGGTGGGATACCCCTGAGTTGAGACTCAGTGTGAGCCTAGAGGAGGTTGGGGCTGGTTGAATGGGCTTCCCAGGGAAGTTTTCTGGGCCAACAGTGCCCAGTGAGTTTGTCCTGTGACAAGTATGAGAAGTGCCCAGGGGAACAGCACAGCAGGGACCTCCATTGGAGTGATCAAAGGCTTAGCCTAGCCTGGGAAAGGTCCATGAATTGGGAAGGGCAGGTGCTTGAGACATCAGACAGAATGTAACCAGAACGGCCTGTAGGGTTTGGGTCAGACCAGCATGGACGGCATTAGTATGTGGCTAGGGAGGCGGCCTGGTGGGAGGCTGACACGGGAGTGGGCCAGGCAGCAGTACTAGCGAGACTCCAGAAGCCCTGGGGACACTTCTGGGGAACCCCTTTCCCTAAGTCTACTCAGAAAAACCCCACAAGCCTGATCAATCCAGAGTTGGGGGCCAGGAGAGAGAGAGGAAAAGTGGGCTCCGCTGACCTCAAATAATTCGCCGAGGGGAGGGGGACCCTCATCCTGAGCAATGGTACTCTCAGCTTCTGCTCTGCCTCGATGGTTCCCCATCTCCACACCCCACCTGGATCTCACCAGCAGGCCCTGCCGACTCCTGCTGCATGTGTCAAGGTTCTGTCTGCCCTCTGGTCCAGCACCAGCCTCCCGCTGGCCTCTGTGGACCCACTCTAGGTCCAAGAATGACCTTTTAAAGGAACGAATCAGGGCTGGAGAGACAGATCAGTGGTTAATGGGCTTGCCTTGAGGGCATGGGCACCAGAGTTCAGATCCCCAGATCTATGTAGAAGTGGGATGGGCATGGGAGCTCTCCTATAATTCCAGCCTTGGAAAGCAAGAGACTAGGGGTTCCCCAGAGCAAGCTGCCTATCGATACTAACCACATTGGCAAGCTCTAGATTTGATTGTGAGGCCCTGTGTCAATAAATAAAATGGAAGAGGAATCAAGGATGATTGTTAACATGAACCTTGGGCCTCCACAGATTGCACGCATGCACACACACGCATGTGCACATATACAAGTGGAAAACTAAAATAAAGGTGTGAACCAGACCCTTCCCTGCCCTGTGTTGTAATACCTCCAGTAGCTCCCTCCTTTTGTGAGGCAAAAGCTAAACTTCTCCCTGTGGCCTGTGAGGCCCAGGCCAGCCCCTGGGCACGCTGATGTTCCATGCCTTACCTCCCCGTCTCGGCCATACCAGCCTTGGGGTATGTTTGTTTTCCGTCATTGTAATGAACCCTTGAGATAATCAGCTTATAAAAAAGAAAACTGTATTTCCACTCACAATTTTGGAGGCTTTGTCCTATGGCTAGTGGGTCCCATTGCTTTGGGCTGTGTTGAGGCAACAGATCATGGTAGGAGCAGATATACATCAAAGAAGCTGCTCGCTGCCCAACCTGCCTAGCCCAGCAGGTGGCTGGGAAGCAAAGAGAGGGAGGGGAGGGCTGGATTCCCAGTCTCCCCTTTGAAGAGCACACCTCCAGTGACCTCTTAAAGGCCCCACCCCCTCCAGATAGTACTGCAGGATGGAGACCAGGCCTTTCACATCCTTGCCTAATCCACAGCAAGTGCTTTTCCTGAACACACAATGCTTCCCTGGGGAAATCTGCACAATCTCACTGCTCCCCCCCCCCCCCCCCCCCCCCCCCCCCGCCTCCATGGGTCAGTGCCACTTAATCCTCTGCTTCCCAAGATGCTTTCCGATGCCCGGACTAGAGCAGGCTGCCTGGCTGTGCTTAGATTCTCTTGTATCCTCGCTAGGTACTACGGAAATTCAGGTTCCATTATTCTCTGTCCTGGGTGGGGTGCCTTGCATTGTAGAAGGCTGAGCAGTACCCCCAGCCTCTAGGCACTCGATACCCTAGATATTTCCCACTGTTCTTGGGGAAGAACAGCATCTGCATTGGGAAAGACTGCAGGAGCCGGTGATAATAAGGAGCCACGCAGACCAGGTGCCCCGTGTTGATCAAATCCTTCTTCGTCTCAGCCCCCAAGATAGAGCAAATGGCCGAGTGATGGGAGGGAACGGGGTCATCCCTGTGACCTCAGAAGCCATCAACAGAGCCTGCATTCTTGCCCTCCCTCTGATGGGGTGAAGGGTGAGTTCCTTGCTAGATATCACCAAGGCTCCCTCCTCACCCTCCACGTCATTTCAAGGGCAAGGAGAAATAGAGCATGGTGGCACAAGCCTGTCATCTTAGCCCTTGGAGGGCTGCAGCGGAAGGATTACAGGTTTGCGGGAATACTGGGACAAAGAATGAGTTCAAAGCCAACGTGGACTATAATGGAAGACAAACAGCAAAGAGGAGAGAGGAGATTGGGGCTACTACTCCTGGTGGGGGCCCCACCTCTCCAAGCCCCCTTGGGGGTCCCACCGCCCCATTGAGCCCCTTCAAGCTCTCTGTCTTCAGGGTCCCAGTTCACTAAGTACGGCTGCCGCCGGAGGCTGGACAGCAAGATGGTACACCGAGCCTTCTGCAGCGCCCTGGCCAAGCCCAAAGCCATCCGCCGAGCTTGCAACCCTCAGGAATGCTCCCAGCCTGTGTGAGTGCTGGGAGGGGGCCACGGCCCAGGGGCTCACTGTGGAGGGAGGAAGGAAGGAAACCGGGCCTCCCAGAAGCCCTGGGCCTGGCATCTCATGGGGTGTTAGGCCTTTCACCCGCCATACCGTACATAGGTTAAAGGTGCAAGTCCACTTCTGACCCACTGACTGGAAACTTCATGGGCATCTCATGAAAGACAGAAAATGTTAACACTTAGATGGGGAAACTGAGGCCCAGAGGGTCTGGGCTGTATTAGATGTTTCTAAGCGACAGTGCTGATTCTCAGACCTTCAGACCCTGGCAGGATGCATTTCTGGACCCAGGTCAGGGAAGGTGGCTGGGTTGAGGGACTCCACAGTGCTCCTGAGCTTTGCTGGGGAGGGTTCATGACACCATCAGAAGATGAGACTGTAGTCAGGATAAGGACCCTGAGGGAATAGACAGGTGGTAAAACCCTTTAGGCCACTAGCCCCAACAGAGCCTGTCAGACTCTCACAAGCAGGGGAGTATCTGAGCCTCAGTTTCCTCTCCCTGCAAGCGGGCCCACATGGCGGGTGCTTCTGTGAAACGAGAAAGAGCTTCCGTTGCAGGAGAGAACAAGCTGACATCTCTGTTCTCATTGCCCACCTGGGCCGCAGCCAGACTGGTTCCCTGACCACCTGCCACTCTGCCCCGGCAGGTGGGTCACCGGTGAATGGGAGCCTTGTAGTCAGAGCTGTGGGCGAACCGGCATGCAAGTGCGCTCCGTACGCTGCATTCAGCCCCTGCACAACAACACCACCCGCTCCGTGCACACCAAACACTGCAATGACCACCGTCCTGAGAGCCGCAGGGCCTGCAACCGTGAGCTCTGCCCTGGGCGGTGGCGGGCTGGGTCCTGGTCCCAGGTAAGCTGTTTTCTTGGCCCCACGCCCTTGACTCCAAACTGAGCTTGGATAAGTCTGAGATAGACAGTCATTCCAGTCTTGATAGAACTCCTGTCCCCCCAGGCCACAGCTCAGGTTTCAGGGCACCATGGGAGCCACAGCATGGAAGTCCAGGGTTTCTATGAGGGAACCAGCTACATGGTGATGGACCTCAAATCCCAGAAGGATGGAAAGCAGATATTTACCATGCATAAATTGCATTGCTTGTTTAAGCTGCCTAGCAAAGCTGGTACAGCCTGCCCCAAGGCCTCAAGCATTCAGGAGCTTTTTTTTTTTTTTTTTTTTTAATCACTCAGAACCTTCCAGGAGTTAGGTCCCCAGAAATTGCCCACAAGCCAGTCCTCAAAACAAGCTGTTGCTTAGGAGTGGGAAGAGTTTGAGAATCCCAAGTCGGCTGAGTTGACTCTCCCCCACATTCATGATAAGGATGCAGGACTAGGTTGAGTGAGCACAGCGCCAGGAGTCAGGGTATGAATGCACTTTAGTTCCTCCCCAGGGTCATGAAGTGTGGGGTGGGGGGCTAGAGGATGCTGGAGCCTTGTGTTTGGAGAGTAAGTTAGAGGGGGGACCGCCCAAGGTTCCGGGGCTGGATCAGAGATGTTGCAGGAGCCCCAGTCTACTACAGGTTTTCCTGGGCATCCTCCAACTAGAGAAGTGTATTAAACCGTTTTCCATTACCATAATGAGGTGCTTGAGTACCTTCTGTGGGGAAGGTTGTGGGCAGATATATCGCTTTTTATTCTCTCCATATAGTGGCATTGCTTGCCTCCATTGTCTAAATTAGCCTAGCTCTATTTTGAAGTTGACACATAAAGTCAAGGGTTTCTTTATGGCATCCCCACACACATGTTCTAATTCACTTCCCTTTCCCATTGCCCTCCCCATCCCTTTTTCCTCTTCCCAAATAGCAGCCCTCAAGGGTGTCATGACCTTCACACACACACACACATACACACACACACACACACACACACTTCCACATATGAGGAGAAACAGAATTTGTCTTTTTGAGCCCAGCTTATTTTACTTAATAGAATCTCTAGCTCTATCCAATTTCTAGCAAATGCCATGATTTCTTTTTTTCCTTATGGCTGAATAAAATTCCACTGTGTAGTATCTAGGAAGACGGCTCTGGTGGTTAAGGCACTTACTGTACAAGCAGGAAGACTGGAGTTTGGATTCCCCAGCACCCATGGAAATGCCTGCTAGGCATAGCAGTCTGCCTAGATAGTTCTAGATAGTTCTAGAGCTCAGAGTCAGGGGTAGAATCCCAGGAACAAGCTCACTAACCAGGTTAGCTGTGTTAGCCAACTCAGAGTTCCAATGAGAAACCCTGACTCGATGAATGAGGTGGAGGCTGGTCAAGAGGATTCTGGTTGGCCTCAGACCTCCGCATGCATGTGTATACCCATGCATGTACACCTGCACATCATATATGTGCCTCCCTCCTGATAAACATGCATATGTTGACCACTTTTTTTCTCTGCATGCATCTGTTGATGGACAGGTAGGCTGGATCTGCTTCCTGACTAGTGCAGATATAAACACAGATGTGGAATGTTGACTTAGAGTCCTTTGGTTATATACCTAGGAGCGATGGGTCATATAGTAATTCTGTTTTTACTTTCCTGGGGACTCTCCATAGGGATTTATGGCAGTGTAGAGCATTTCTGTATGAAGAGGCTTCTTGAGTTCATGGTTTTGAAGGTTTAAGGACATGGTGCTAGCATCATCAACTTTACCCTTATGAGGGAGGATCTTATGACATATGGCACCATGATGGTATACATGGGAAAGGGATCCCACGGAGAAGCAGGCGGCCAAGGCCCAAACAGGTCAGGAGAGGCCTCCCACTAGGTTTTGCTCCCCTTCCCATTACCACCACAGTGAGGACAGAGCTTCCAACACACAAGTCTGGAATGACATGCTCAAATCATATCCACACTATGGGAGGAAGGGAGAACCCAGAGGTATTGGCATCGCAGTAGCCCTGAGAAATGGGCATGTGCATTCTAGGACAGTTCCTATGGGACAAGACCCACCTTCTGCCCCACACCATCTCCCATGGGTCACCCGTCACATGCCTGGGGAGCATGAGGCTCAGTATGGGAGGTGACCTTGATTAATGGTTCTGTACCTACAGTGTTCGGTAACCTGTGGCAATGGCACCCAGGAACGGCCAGTACTCTGCCGCACCGCCGATGATAATTTTGGTGTCTGCCGGGAGGAGCGGCCTGAGACAGCAAGGATCTGCAGGCTTGCACCCTGTCCCCGTAAGCCCTGTGCCACCCCTGACCCCCAGCATGCAACAGCCTAGGAGAGGGGAGTGGGGGCTAGTGCAATCAAACTCTGCTCTTCTTCCAAAATGACTGGGCTTGCCATGGGTAAACTTGAACTTGAGCACTCCCAGCCAGGGCTGAGACTTTTCCTAGAAAGAAATAGGATGGGGGGGGGGGGGCGCGCGGGGCGGAGGGTTGACACATGGGTGTCCTTGGACAAGTCCTGGTGTGCACAGAGGACGAGTCTCAGCCCATCCCTGCCTTCATGGCGTGCTATTACAGCCCTAAACTCCAATGACCCACAGTGAACCACAGCCCAGCAGGACTCTGCCAGCAGGCATGCGGAGCCTATGCAACGGAGATGCCAATATAGGAATGGGGATGCCCATGTGGGTAGGATGTGCCCTGTGTTCTTTGAGAACAACAGCCAAGACCACTGTGCAGATGCCTGGTCCAGTGTCACATGTGTTTCAACATCTTGGTCCACACAGCAACTCAGGGCTAACTCTGTCCCCACCATTCTCTTCTACAGAGGACAGAGTACAAGAGGTCAGGTGACAGTCCTAGTAGGGGTGGCAGGACTGGTCATCCTTACCAGCTCTCTCCAGGACAGAGCTTGAGTGCCAGGGAACCCTGGAAATAAGGTGGGGTAGAAACAGTGAAGGAGCAGGACATGGGTTCATCTGAGATGGGCAACTGGAGAGACATTGCTGGGCCCAGGGATGCAGACAGGCAAGCGACGAGACCAGTTTATCCAAGAACAGGAACCATGCCCTCCTACTGCGCTGGGCCCCAGGATGCCTGGAGGCGAGCTGCTTTGCTCTGGATGTGGTGGGGGTGGTGGGGGTGGTGGTGGTGGTCCTCAGTGGTGCTCTGGCAGCTGCAGCCTCCACTTTTCCTTCCAGGAAACATCTCGGATCCCTCCAAGAAGAGTTACGTGGTTCAGTGGCTGTCCCGGCCTGACCCTGACTCACCCATCCAGAAGATCTCGTCAAGTAACCGACCCGTTTATAACTCTGCCTCTGCCCTCCAGTGCATGCCCTGCGCCTTGTGGAGCTTGCCTTGGGCTCCCCTACTCTCTCTCTATGGAAAGCTTCCCTGACTCCTGCTGAGCGCTCTCTGGGTGAATCTGTTTTCTCTGGGCCTGTGTGCTCGGCCTGCTCCTCCAGAGCTTGTACCACTTGGTGGCGGCAAGCGGAGCGAGGGCCAGCCTCAAGGAGGCCTGGCCTGGGGACACTGGCCTCTTGTCAAGGGGCCAGGACCTGGTTTTGTGATGGCTTGTAAAGGGGCAAAGATCTGTTGTGGTGCTGGAGGGGCCTGAGGCCACTGTGCGAGTGTGACCATCTCGCCATGGCGACTGCCTCATTGGGCCACATCCCTCCAGGCTGAAGCTGCGGGTCAACTCCAAGGGGAAGCCAGCCCCATCCCCTTTCAGACGCCACCACCATTAAGGTGAGGCCACAGGGGTCTCTACGGTGTGCGTTTTTTGCATCTCCTGTGCCGGGGTGACAGACCCCAAGTTTCCTGCGGTGTCAGGGGCTTCCCGGCTGCTGCTGCTGTCACTGCTGCTGTTGTCCTCTGCTGAGTGTGTCCTTTCTGACTTGTGAAACTATGGCCCGCTTCCGTCCGGCCTTTGCACCCAACCTACATGGCCCTTGGCCCCCATCCCCCTGTCCTCTCAGATGGAGGAGGAGGCGGGGAGACATGTCCCTGCAATGGGATGTCATGGACACACCACCACTTCCATTCTCTGTCCATTTGCTCCAATGGCCTTTTTCTTGTCGTGTGCATATGACCCGTTCAGAGGATTGAAAGTGAGATTGATTGATTGATTGACTGACTGACAGATATGGATGTGCCTCACCTACCAGTGTGAACAACTACAGAATACCTCAATTTTTATTGCTTTTTTTTTGCTTAGAAACACTATGTAGAAGATGCCTTAAAGTTGAAAGCTAACAGAATTGGCTGCTAACTCCAGCCTCAAATGGGGGATGTGATCCGGGTAGGAGGCAGGCACTGAAGATCTAGGGGGACCCCACCCATTTTTGCCCACCTTTTGCCAAGGGTAAGGTTTCTAAATCCAGATGGCCTTGCTCCCTCCCTGAACCATCTGTGTGTGAAGGGACTCAGCAGGCACTCCATCTATCTCCGACAAAAGGGGTCCTCCTCTGATGCCCACCTGGCCAGTTGGCGCTGACTGTTTTGCGGAGACTCCCACAAGGAGCTCCCACAGCGCGGCCTTACACCCAGAGGGTGACCTTACACCTGGGTCCTTAGCCGTGACCAATGTAGCACTCCCAACTGACAGTCCCAGCAGCGCCCCCGGCCCCAGCCGCCTTCATCTGTTAATAACTAATTCCTGCTGGACCACGCAGCCAAGCCTCCTCCTCTCCCCCTTGGCGCCCCCGGCCCCAGCCGCCTTCATCTGTTAATAACTAATTCATGCTGGACCACGCAGCCAAGCCTCCTCCTCTCCCCCTTGGCAGTGACTACTGTTATGTAAATAATCGGTGTGTAACTGCAAATCAATCTTCTCACGACTGTTAACTTCCAACTTTGACGAGGCAGTGTGAGTGACCTGTGTGGTTGCAGATGGTGCCACACGGTCCTGGGCATTTGCCTCCTGTCTGTACGCACTTTGGTTTATCAGGGATATTTTATTAGTATTTTGTATGTACTTAATGACGTATTACATAGGTTTCGTTGTTGCCATTGCCTTTCTGTTCTTTTCTTCTTTCTTGCTTTCTCTCCATGAGACATTAGTGTGTGCCAAAGTGACTGTGAAAATGACCTTTTATTCTTACTAATGATGGAAAGACCTCTTGTCATGCATCCCACAAATAAACTCAATAAAAGTTCAGTTCAACTGGGAGCTTGGGTTTGGTCAGCTGGCGGCTTGTTCTCTTCACCTTCCTGGCAGGCCACACCGAGGCGTCATGCGGCACCATCCAGTAGCGTTAATCACCTGGTTTCTGGTTCCAGTGACTTCGTTGCCCCCCACCTCGCCCCACCACCCCCTGCCCAACATAGATGTTTAGGGTCCATCTTTCACTAACACACATACCAGAGAATTTTTCAAAGTAGGGCTGTTGCACTCCACCTTGAGTGTGGATCTGTCCGTGCTAAGCGAGGACCTTTGCAGAGATGTCTCGGTTTTCTGCTCCTAGGTGCTGCCTGGCTTGGCTTCTTCTTTTCTTGGGATCAGAGCAGAAATGTGGGGTACAGGTTATGTCTCCTGAGCCCCTGTCAGGTCACTGTCCTGCCTTGAGATGCCTGTTCATAAAGATGGTTCCTATCACGATGGGGAAGGGGTGTGGTCTTGGGAAAGCAGGGCAATGGTCGTGTGTGTGTGTGTGTGTGTGTGTGTGTGTGTGTGTGTGTGTGTGTGTGTGTGCGCGCGCGCGCGCGCGTGCGCGCACATGTGCACAGCCCTGCCTGACTGTACCTCCTAAGTTCTGCTCTCAATAGCCACAGGGCCTGTGTCCTCTCACCTACCAACAATGACCAGGCGGTGGGCCAGGTTTCAGCAGGGACTTCCTCACCTGAGGTCTGTCTTGTGGGTGGGACTCCTGCCCCATGTTCATCAGTGCTAGGGATCGGTAGGAAGGGTCAGGAGGTACTGAGAAAGGACAATAGGAGATGGCCCAGTGTCTAAGAAACGGGATTGGCAGCCCAGGCTGAGGCCCTGGACTCCAGAGATGTCACAGGAGCTGTGGTTGGATCTACTGCCCACAGTTCTGCTTGTTAATCAAAGGAATCATAGCTGAAGAGGATACTTGTGTCCACAACACTGCATCCCTCAGTCCATCTCTCCAGAGATGAGTCAAGATTAGCTGCCCTCTAAGGAAACCATATATTAGTACTCCTGATGGCCCAGGATGCCACCTGCACAGGGCACATCTGGGGCCCATGATGGAAGGGAAGGTGCTACTCCCTTTATGAATGAGTTTCATGAGCTTTTGAATGATGAAGTGGGTTCATGAACCCACCACTCATTTGCAGTGATGTGTCTGCTCCCACCAAGCGATCCCTCCTGCTTCTCTTTACCCTTTATGGCATCAGGGAGGGATTCTTGCTTTATGCCTTCCCCAACATCTGTTACACTTTACTTTCTCTCTAACTCTGACTTCTGTGCAGAACTATCCCCCTAAAGATTGGTGAATTTAAACTCGATTTTAAAATTGACTTTGCTTTTTCTCTGTATTCATGTTTGAGGTTACCTATGATACTTGTCTTCCACGAGTATCGATTTTCTCCTAAAATAAGTGATGAATTTTAAAAGGCATTCAAGAAAACTACTAACAGGAAGCAATCAATAATCCATATGGAATTCGTATACCACCACGACTGGGGGAGAGGCACATGGGTGACAATGTCTCCCATCAAGTGCTAACCAGGACTGGCCATGCTTAGCTTTTAAAGTGACTTTATAAACAATATGTACATTCCCAATGGTTTATCATCATTCCTTGGAAGCCAATAGTTTTGGCCACCCATGGTGGTGCATGCTTTTAATCCCAGCACTTTGGAGGCAGAGGAAGGCAGATCTCTGTGAGTTCAAGGCTAGCCTGATCTACATAGTAAAGTCCTATCTTAAAAAAAAAAAAATCCAAGAGTTCTTGCTGTTTAGTTGCCACTGAGAATGGGATGGAAGATCAAATATCATAAAAATCAAAATTATCTTAGCAACCTTTCACCAGCCAGAGCCTCAGGACATAGTTCAGCCTGCTAGAAGTATAATTGACAGCTTCTTTATCTAGGAGAGCTGTCTGGCCAGCGGTATTGTTTAAAAAGACACAACCACTGGTGTATTTTCAATAAGGATTGTAACCACCCCTTGATCTTGCAGATGGCTACATCCTGGAATAAAATGGTCTAGAATTTGCATATAATATGTGCATCATCCTCCCAAACACTTTGCATTACCCCCAGGTTCCACATAATTCACAATACAATGTAAGCACTTTATAGATAGTTGTTTTACTGTGTTGTTTTTTGGAATAATGACCACAAAGGAATCTGGTTTATATAGTATTCTTCCCAAGTCCTGTCCATGGTTAACTGGATCCAAGGATGTAGAGCCTGTAGGCACAGAGGGCTGACTGACATGTTTTTCTTGGTTGTTATTAGTACACCAAGCTCTTAAGCCATGGCTTTTTTTTATTCACTCATTGCCTTGCTTTAATTTTTTAAAACTGAAGTTGTGTAGTTCAGTCAGAGGAAGTCAGACAGAGAAATCCACCTTGTAAGCCAAGTGGAATGGGGGCATCCTGAGAAGGGAATTCAAACTCTTAGGGCTGTCTCCATCAACTGAACACTACCTTTGGCCAACCACTAATCGAGGGCTACCCTTGACCCAGAGTCAAGCAACATTTTCTGCAAAGAGCCAGACAACAAATACTTTAGGCATTGGAGCCCATCCAGTCTGTCACAGCCATGCCACTGTTGTTACAGTGGGAAAGTGGCCAATGATAATAAGTGTGGCCGTGTCTCAATAAATATTTATAAAGCCAGGTAAAAGGATGGATCTGGCCCATGGCCCTGTATAGCTTCCTGACTTCTACAGGTAATCCTTGAATTGGCCTGGCTGTTGGGTTAGTCAACTTCTAGCACTGTGATAAGATACCTGATACATCAGAAAAGTTTAATGCAGCGGGGCCATGGCTGGATGGAGCAGTGGCCTGACAGGATATGTCAGATAAGTTTGGGTAAGTGTCCAAAGACCTGCACAAGTCTGCGTCTTTAGTCTCTGACAGAAACACCTTGGGAGGTCAGCTCAGGACAGTGGCACACAGTGAAGCTCTAACTGAGGGGGAGCTGAGCTTTAGAGGCTGGTTCTTTTAGGTTGAATTTTGTTATAGTTACTACTTGTACATTACCACAGAGTCAAATCCTGCCACCAAATTACATTGAGGTTCCACTGAGATGTCGAGCATGAAGATCCGGTTAAGTCCCGTCCTTAAGGTTGGACTTGGAGTCTCTCTTAAGAACAGAAAGTCTCATTTCTGTCTCAACCTTAGAGATACACTGACAGAGCAGGTTCTGCTCGGGATTGCTTGCAGGAGGGGAGCGCTCCAGGCGGGGGGTCTGTGGGTGCCCCGTTCAGAGTCTTGGACCCTGCAATCACACTGACTCTCCACACAAGCTCACTGCCTCTGCGCTGCCTCTGGACTCTGTCACACGCCTCCTCCAGCAATCTGCACTCGGCGGTGGGTACATGTCCCCCTCACCTTGTCCTTTGGTTATTTCTCCCACTCTTCTCTTTCAGAGGGCCAGTGCCAAGGCGACAAGTCAATGTTCTGTAGGATGGAAGTCTTGTCTCGCTATTGCTCCATCCCCAGCTACAACAAGCTCTGCTGCAAGTCCTGCAACCCACCCCACAACCTCAGCAGCACGCAGGACGCAGGTGGGGAACCTCCACCCGGGAAGCACAATGACATCGAGGTGTTCATGCCCACACTCCCGGGGCCCACTGTCGCTACGCAGGCTCAGCCTTCGTCAGGGCCTCCCTTGGAGGTCCCCCTCAATGCCTCCAGCATCAATGCCACTGAGGATCACCCAGAAACCAATGCTGTGGATGTCCCCTACAAGATCCATGGTGTGGATGAAGAGGTCCAGTCTCCCAACCTGATCCCGCGACGACCGAGCCCATATGTGAAGACGAGGAACCAAAGGATCCAGGAGCTCATTAATGCAGTGCAGAAAAAAGAGAAGGCCGGAAGGTTCTAATAAAATGGAAAGATTCGCATCAACAGCTTTTTCCCCTTGCTTATAGATATGTTCCATGGGATGGTAAATCCTGTGCTGTGGGAGACAAAGCCCAAATTCCTGCTTCCAGAAAGGTTTGGAAAATAGTACAAAAGAATATATATGGGGGGGGGGGGGGGCATGTGACAATCAGCCTAACATGTATTTTCCAGGCTAGGAATGACCTAAATCTTGTGGTGGTCTTAGGTCTAGAGTGGAAAAGTTCCCTAGTTTCTACCAATGTTGGGATGTCAAGGGGGATGACTCCCAGAGAGAAAAACTTCCTAAGCAGTGGTTGAGAACCTTCATTTCCTTGGTGATGAGCAGTCCTCAGACCAAGGTATGAGACCACGGGGGACTTTTAAGTGACATGATGTTTTACCTAAGAGATTGTCAGGTTGAGTACATTTGAGTGGAGGTCATGACTCGAAATGACCTCAGAGGCCAGGCAGATGATTGGGTAAGTGTGGTAGAGAGAGGCCTTAGCCAACCAGAGAGCAGCGCCTGTCTAGGGCTGTTGGCAGGCTCCAGCTATCGCTGCCAGTGTGACATGTGTTCCTTCCCTACGAGCCTGGCCCTGCCATCTTTTGCACAGGCAGATATCTGGGTTTCCTGTACTTAAAATTTTTGAAGTCGTAGGGGTGGGAGTAGGAGATGACCTGCGAGTTTTAGGTTGAGATCCATCAGGCTGTAACCTCTGGTCTCTGTTTTAATTATTAACTAGTTGTCTGGTGCGGTTTCAGCATCTGGTGCTCATGGTGTGCAATGTTTTGATCTCAGCTGAGCATGGGTTGTGCACCCATCTAGTTCTTTCCAGAAAAGTGATGAGACTCCTATAATGGGGGATATGAGTTCCAAAGAGGAGCCATTGGGTCAAAGGCAGCAAGGACTTATCTCTCTCCTGTCCACTCACCTTGGCCTTGCTTGCTGCCTCCCAGGTTCTGGTGGAAGAACCCTGGTTTTCTTCTCTGGCCAGCTTGAGCCAAGGCCCGAGAGAGGAAGGATGTACTCTGCATGTGCTCTCCCGGGATGACCCTGCATGTGGCCCAAGACCCAGGATTCTCCCTTTCCTGGGATCCCAGTATTGCCACCTGGGTGGTGAGGTGCCAGGCTCTGGGGTCTCAGGTTCAGAGGATGGGTTTTGTCTGTAGTCTGACCTTGCCCTTGCCCATTTCCAACCTTTAGAAGGACTAGAACCTGACAAGATGGCCTGCGATAGGAAGTATCAGGTGGGGGTGGAAGCCCCACTTTATCTTTTTTCTTTAGAAGCTTAGATAATCTTTGTTTGTGGTAGAATGACGTTTGGTGAGCCGGATGTGAATGAGGGAAAATGAAAGGCAGTAGGTGAATGATAGGAGGGTGGTGAGCTTTGGCTCTTATACACTGGCATTTTGTGAGCATGCCACTCCAATACCCCATATGGTAAGAGCCAAGGAAACATTAGCTCCGTAGCTGGGCCTAGCCTAACCATAATTCTGAGACTTCTCATGTGCAGGAAAGTTCTAGAAGCTCTGTGTTCTCGCCCATCATAGATCTTAGGTTATTCTTTCTTATTGATAACCCCCAGCCCTGCCAATCAGAGTTAAGAATACTGAGACTTGAATCGATGCCATTGTGGCTAACCCTCCATTGAGTTTCGAGGTGCTCAGTATGCTTGTGTAAATCTGGTGTGTGTGTGTGTGTGTGTGTGTGTGTGTGTGTGTGTGTGTGTGTGTGTGTGTGTGTGTGTGGCGGGGGAGTTGTCTATGTGGATGGTCTGGGAAAGAAGTCAGAGCATAGAGACCAGCTGGACTAATGTTTAAGATAGTGCTTAGCTTTCCTCCCAGAAGGTGGCCAGACACCCCCCCCGCCACATGCATTCCTTGCCCCCACATCCCACACATACTCCTACACTGCCCCAGCTCCCAAAGAACCAAATTGGAAAAAGTCCTTTGACTATCTCTCCTAGTATGTGGTTGAGAACAGTTCTGCTTCCCTGCCTCCTTGTAAGCAGGGAATGAATCCCATGGCTGGCCCTCATTTATTGAATCCAGGTCAGCTGGGTTTACTCACAGTCTGAAGAACTGAGTATTTCCTGTCTTTGGTAGAATGAGAAGGAACATTCTAGACTAATAGTAGCCAGGATATGACTGAGTTACCCATTCTAATGGTTGTGATATAGTAACACTCCATTGTCAGATCCCAGTACAGCAGAGCTTCATAGAAGCCCCGTGTGGGACAGCCCCAGCAAGACAGATGCCCTGAAGGGAGATGAGGTCCCACATGACATCCTTGGTGTCTTGGGCCCTGGGCCTCCAGGCCTCTCTGGAGCTAGTGGTACTCATACACCTCTGCCCAAGGAACAAACCGTGTCCACTGGGCTCAGAGAAGTTGCGAGTTCCTGAGCATGGGACTATTTGGAGAATGGACTTAGAAATCACCCTGAGTTTTCAAAGCAGCTCTTATTTCTGAGGCATTCTTGTAGTCCTAGAGGCAGGTTAGGTGTCCTCTAGAAGTTTCCAGCACCATGTTGTCACCCAGACTATCCTACATCACACAGAAAAAAACTTCTGAGGCACCTGGGAGTCATTTTTTATTCTTAGGAAGAATCAGGCCACATTTGAAGAAAGCCCTTAGAAAACCCCATGGAATCCCATATATAAGCCTCAAATTTGTATTTTGATAGTTGTCTTTTTGGGTCTGTTTTAAGTATATAAATGGTGCTCAATAGCAATGTCTTTGTCCAAGGTAACATTCTGACTCTACTCCTGTGTGACAGGCGGCCGCCGAATGGAGCCAAACACGGTGCTCAACTTAAATCACAAAGTTTTATCTGACAACAGCCATTGATGCGTCTTTGTTCTGTATAGTAAAACTTGACTCCTTACTTTCATAACTTATTAAAGTGTCTGTGGTTTTGCAAATCATGACCGTGTTGGTTCGTTACCTTGACTACACTCATCTCCAGCCTAAACTTTGACAGGAGAGATATGTCACATTGGCAAGCCAATCTTGGCGATGAGCCCCCAGGCTCCTGGGGCAGGGGGCCATCTAAGAGCCCTGGCTGTGGCTGCTTAAGTCAGCACCCCATGGGGGAGAAAGGACATCCTCTTCCAACTTACCTTGGGATATGGCTTAGCCAAGAGCCCCACCCACCTACCCAAGCATCATCGTGACCCTTTCTCCAATGATTAGGGTTTCCAGGAGAAAAGACTAGCCATTGAGCTAAATTTGAAATCCAGAGAAACAGAAACACTTTGTAGTATAAAATAAGAGACACACACACAAAAAAAATATGGAAATTTTTCTGGAATTCAAATTTAACTGAAAGTCTTGCATGTGTATTTTCTAAATTTAGGCAACCAACCTGTAAGCAGCATTACACTTAGAAAATATTTGCTCTCATCCACTTGTGTGCTAGTCAGTATTGGGGAGTGGGGTAGGGAATTGAAGAGCAGACTACTGTATCTACTTGTGTAAAATCTTTGGGGTGTGTGTGAAAAGAATATGTAGTTGTCAGCTGTTGGGTGCCACATACGAGGAACGTCCCCCATGAGTAACAAGAGTGCTTGCTGCTCTTCCAGAGGACCAGAGTTTGGTTCCCAGCACCAAACTCTGGGAAAAAGCCTTGATTTGTCATTCTAATAATTTCTAGCTCATAGTATCTCCTTGTATTAACTTGATAACTCCTAATAACTCTTGATTGTAGTTTTGTCAATTTCTACCTCCCTCTTTTATAAAATCACAGGCCACTTCACTATTTTAAGGGTCACTTTGGGACACATGTAAATGTCTAGTTGATATTGTCTTCTTGGTGACATCATCCAATGATGAGGTGACCAATTTTGCTTCTGGAAATGACTTGAGATTTTCCCTTGAAGCTGGGGGCTTTGGGACCTTTCTCTGGGAGGAGGTTGCATAATGATACGTTCTTTTGCTTTTAGATTTCCCACATCTAGGCATTTGTGTGAGCTGTATCAACAGTTTTTAACACTAGCTTTCTGTTTTAAAAAGATTTATTTTTATTTATGTGTGTGAATGCCACATGTGTGAGGCTTCTCACAGACGTCAGAAGAGGGCGTCAGATACCCTGGACTGAGGTACAGGTGGCTGTGAGCCCCCTGGCATGGGTGCTGGGAACCAAACTCTGGTCCTCTGGAAGAGCAGCAAGCACTCTTGTTACTCACTGAGCCATCTCTCCAGCCCTTGTTTTGAGACTCTTCCAGAGCGCATCATACAGACAGGCTGGTCTCGAACTTAATAGAAATCCACCTGCCTCTGTTCCTCAAGTGCTGGGATTATAGGAGTGTGCTCCCACACTCAGACCAGTCTAACATTTTCCAGTCAAAATCCTCATTGACACCAAGGTCCTTTCTCCCTTCTTGTGTGCTCTTTGTCTTGACTTCTCCATTCTTTCTCCACTTTCTTATCTTCTTTTTGGCCATGTGCTGCCCCTACCCCTAATGCCCATTTCTCCAGACACACCTGTGAGATTATTCAGCGTCTAACCATGCCTTTGAGGGATTGTGCTGACGGGCTTAATGGAGATTGGAAGACCCATCCTAACAGTAGCAGCACCATTACCTGGCCTGGGGTCCTGGACTGTATGAAACGGAGGGTGAGCAGAGCATTGGCATCCTTTGCTGTCTGCTTCCAGGGTGTGGCTGTCATGTGACCAGCTGCTTCTGGCCCCTGGCACCCGGACTTCCCTGCTGTGACGGACAGTACCCTTGAACTGTGAGTCAAAATAAACCCTTTCTCCCCTAAGTTGGTACAGGAAGAGAAACTAAGACAGAGGGGGAAAAAATCTCCTTATGCTATTGGCAGAGAAGAGAAAGGTTAGCACTTTGAAATATGCCTCAGCTTGGTCTCTGAAGCAAAAGCTTGCCTCCAAGAGCAAGGTGTTACTGAAAACATTTTTATCAGAATATGATCATTAGACAGTTCCAGCTCTTTCCAGTCTCCTCTCTATGGTAAGAAGAGGATAGTATATAGCCATGTTATCCTGAACATGGCCAATCTAATCTAATCTTGGAAGACAAGCAGAGTCAGGCCTGCTTAGAGCTTGGATGGGAGAGGAGGGAAAAGGATGCCGACGTCAGAGCCCAGG